GGAATGAACCCAGGTCCTCTGCAAGAGCAACACATGGTCTTAACCACTGAGCCACCATTTGCACAGTTATAAAGTGTAAGAGTTTCAAATAAGTTTTTATTAGCTTTCAGAGTTCTCAAAATTTGCATAAAAGTCATGGACTTCATTGTTACATTTTCATGCACGCGCATACACACACTCACATACACACACGTTCTTATTTGTCACTTGCCACAGTCCCCCATCCACCTTGCATCCCCCTGCCTTGCCGGTCCCCTTCCTCTGCCCAAATAGTCCTCCTTTCTGCTTTTATGCCACATATGTTGTTGGACAAACTCCACTGTGTATATGTACAATATGCAGCCATTCATCTGCTGACGGACAACTGAGCCAATTCCATATCATGTTTCTCTGTGGCATGCTGACTTAGAATCCTTTGAGTAAATAACTAAGAGTATCCTAGCTGGGTCATATGGTAGCCCTAGTTTCTAGGGTTATTTATTTTATTTTATTTTTTGAGAAATAATCATAGTGATTTCCACTGGAACTCTACCAGTTTACATTTCCACAAGCAATGAATAACAAGTGTAACCTTTCTCCATATCACTGCCATCAATTATGCTTTGTTTCCTGGATGTTCGTCATTTTGGCTAGAATCTTGGTGTAGTTTGAATTTACATTTCTCCTGTTGGCTAAAGATGATGACCACGCTTCCAAGTCCTTAATGGCTTTTTAAAATCTCTTTCTTTGAGAACTCTGAGTTCAGCAGTCCATGATCTGATCACATTACTTTGGGTTTGGGGTGCTTCGTTTTTGTAGGTTGTATTGTTTACTATTTTTGTTGCAATGACCAGGTCCCTGGCAAAATCAGATCAGGGAGGAATTGTTAGGCTCATGATTTGAGGTGATGCAGTCCATCATGATGGACAGGCACGGTGGCAGGGACAAGAGGCACATTAGGCCTGCAGTCAGGAAACAGTGGACAGGAAGTGTGTCTGGGCTATAAACCTCTAGGCCCACGGTCTGTGACCTACTTCCCCCGGTAAGACTCAACTTCCTAAAACTTCCACATCTCTAAATCAGCACCACCAGCGAGGAACCAAGTCTTCAAACAAGATCCCTTAGGAAGCACTGTGCATTCAGACCACGACAAAAGCCTTTGTAGGCTGCAACTATTAATATCTTGTCTGATGTGTAGTTGGCAAAGATAGTCTCCTATTCTGTGGGATCCTCCCCCCAATTTGGCTGATCCTTTCATGTGCTGTTCAGAATCCCTTTAATTTAGTGCAATTCTATTTGTCAACTCTTAGGATTGTTCCTGTGCTGTTGGGGTTTATTTAAAGAAAGTGCTTGCCTATGCCTATGTCTTGAGGTATTTTCAGAGTTCCAAATCTTTGACCCATTTTGAAAAGATTGTGTGCGTGTGAAGGACATGGATCCAGTTTCATTCTTGTGTCAGTACCGTGTGTTGAACAAGACATCTTTTTTTCTAATCTATGTGGAGAATACCTTTGTCAAAAGTTAGCTGTCTATAGCTATGTGGGTTTATTTCTGGGTCCTCTATTCTATCCCATGGGTCCACATCTGTTTTGTATGAGCACCTGGCTTTGTAACTTCACAGGGTAACTTGAAGTCAGGCACTGCTGTGTCTACAGAATTTCTTTCTGCACAGGGTTGCATTTACTATCCCAGGCCTTTTGTGCCTCCTCGTGAACTTTTGACTTCTTTTTTTCTGCTTTTGTGGAGAATGGTACGGGAATTTTGGTGCAGGCGCATGGTAGATTGCTTTCCTTGATGTAGACATTTCCCAATATTAATTCTGGCAGTCTATGAGCATGGGAAGTCTTTTTATCTGCTGCCATCTTCTTCAGTTTGTTTTTTACAGTGTCTTCAAGTTTCAGTTATGGAAGTTTGTTAGCTCCTTTGGTATATTTATTCCTGGGAAGTTTTTTAATGTATTGTAAGCAGAATTTTATTCCTGGGATTTTTCAAAGAAAGCTTGGTATTGATATATAGAAAAGAAGGTACTGATTTCATCACATTGATGGTGTATCATCCTACTTAGCTGAAAGAGTTTGTCACATTGGAGCATTTTTTTTTCTGGTCATTTTTAAGGATCCTTGAAGCAAAAGATAATACCATGCATCCTTCCAGTAATGAATAGGTAAACAAATGATACATTTATGTGAAACATTATAGCTGAATGTTATTCAGCCATGAAAAGAATGAAGTACTGATTATGCTACAATGTAGACAAAAGTTGTGAACATGATACTGAAGGAATGAAGCCAACCATCCAATACCAAGTAATATATCTTTCTTATTCCATTAGTATGAGATGTCCAGAACAAATAGGTTATTGACTTCTAGGGGTAAGAGATGTAAAGATTGGAAGTAATAGTTAAAGGGGACAGATTTCTCTTTGAAATGGTGCAAATGTTCTAAAAATGATTGTGAGGACTATACAACACTGTACATTGACTTCTACATAAGAAATACTTATGTATAAATTCTAATGCTATAGAGATTTTGCCAAAAAAATGTATGTTAGTGTAAATTCGAATTTACCTGTGGGCCCAAACACCCTTTAAAGAGGAAGAGACTTTTGGCAAAAGAAAAAGGGGAAGGAGAAGAAAAGGAAAGGAAAGGAAAGAGTCCTATAATAGAGCGAGAAGGAGCTGTACAGTCATAGGCCAGGATCTACAGAGGATACAAAACCTCCCAGGATTTGGATTCTTCCTCAAAGCTTTGTAGCTGCTGTTGAATCTTTACACAACCTACCACCCAAATCCTTTTAGCAGGAAACCTTTGAAACTAAAAGACAAACAAAGTACAGTAGAGCCCAACAGCAGGCACTGGGGCAACCTTGTTTAGGAGTCCTGATTCTATCATTCTCTAGGTCAGATAATACTTTCTGTGCCTCAGTTTCCCCACCAATGAGTAAACTGTTTGGTCCAGCAGTCATTAACACTGCAAGCCTGCCACGCACTTGAAATGTTAGTGTGAGAAGCGGGGAACAGCTTGTCATGGGCCATTCTGCAATAATCAAGGACGGGGATGGCCGTCACAAATGATGGTCGAGAAGTCTGGCTGAACCCTTGAGGTCTGTAGGCAGGCGCTGGCTGAGCAGGGATCGGGAGCCCACCTTAAGAGGGTTCCACAGCTCCCAAGCCTCTTACTACACGAGGGCTTTCTCACATCCACTACAGCAAAGACTCCAAGTGGGTTCAAAGTTAAGTTTCTGACTCAAACGATTCATTTAGTCTGGTTCCATTCCAGCATGGTCCAGTACTCTGAAATTTTTTATCTTGTTTCTCTAAAAAGGAGTTACTGCTTGTCTTAGGCTTGTGGATTCTTGACTCTTTGGAGCATGCTAAGTACTACACATTCTCTAATGATGAGGCTCAGCCAGCTGGGTGGAAGGGACATGACCATACACGCGTGCTCAGGGCATGCAGTCATCCCTTCTAGAGAAATGGGTACTCTACATTTCACAGAGGCAGTTGTGGCTTACTCAACAGGCTTAGAACTGAAGTTGCTCAGTCCATGACCGCCTGGCTTGTGCCCCGAATCATTTTGTCCGTCCTGTAGTGTCAGGACAGTGCTTCGTACCATTCACCACCTACCACATTTCCACCCGCCTTCAGTATTTTACTCCTCTCACAATTCTGTAACACAACAAGTGTGCCGATCTATGTTGCTTTGTTGAAAACTTGAGCTGTGTGTTGTTTGCAAGCTGCCCGGTCCTGATAAATTGGTGCTATTTCCTTCAGAGAGATGACTTCCCATCTAGAGACTGCATGCTTGGCTTGCTGAAGAGGCTTAGCTCAGCACATCCCTAGGCTCATAAACAGCTAGATCAAAGAATCATGGATTCAAAGCAATAAAGGACAAAGGGAGCTCACTAAATTACATACGTTTATTTCATCATCACAATTCATTTTCCACTTCAGCTAAACTTCCATTTTATGTGTGGGTTTAGTGAACAAATGAGCACCTGACATTTTGGGGGGTGTTATTACAATGAACAAATCTACTTTATTAATAAATATGTTTAAATGTTTGCTGTAGCCTTTTAATCCATACAAATAAAGACAGTCTTTATTCAGTATCATAGTTTTGAACTACAAATCCATCATTCTCTTGAAGCAACAATTCATCCAACCTCTATTGGATGTTGCACAAAGTATAGTCAAATAGATGGAGCTTCTCCCACCCATCAATTGAGGTATAGAGTGGTAATTACAGTTATGTCCCCTACAAAGAGCTGTGTACCATGTTACAGTTTCAGAAAGACACATCCTAAGAAAAAAAACTAATGGATGCTCTGAGACTCAATTATTTTTATTCCTGTATGCTAATTCCAAATTAGGGTGGATGACTTCCAAGTGGTCTCACTGTAGGGTCAGCGGAGACACGTCACAGGATGCTTTAATTCTGTCTCTTACTCTAATGCTTATAAGACTAACAGAAAACATAAATAATAATTCTTGAGGTTGACTAACAAAAAATTTTAAGTCTCATCTCTACCATCTCTCTGAACCTTCCAGAAAAAAATACATGGGGGGTGGGCAGGGCAGGAGGTAAAGACAGAGGAAAAAGAGAAAAAGGAGGAATATGGCTTGCTTGGATTCCCTCCACTCCTGCCCTACTTAGGAAATGTATTTCAAGCCTAAGATTCTGTCAAAGGCTCTCTTTGAAAGCTGTTGAATCAAATTCACATTCACCTAAGCTTTTTATGGTTTGGGGTATTTTTGCTGTTGCTGTTGTTTTTGATAGACACTAGTTTCTTCTTAGAGCAAAAACTAGATTCACTGTAGTGGTGAAGTACAAAAAGTAGGCCTGTTGTTGCAAGTGTCATATGGTGGCTCAGAATGACACTGTGGGGCATCTCCTGAATGGGCTCACATTTAATCAATTGAAGCTCTCCATTGCTCTTCACAAGATCTTAAACACAGGTAAATATGTAAACACCGTGTACTCAGAGAGCAATGACTAGGCACATTGAAGCATATGGCTCTCAAAGGAATGGATCCAAGGGAAATACCACTCATCAGTTTCAAAACCATCCACCCGAGTTGTCACTCTCTGGCTGAGGCGGGAATACCACATTGCACATCTCAGAGTTCTCTTGATGGAGTGGGAGTTCACATCCAGACAATAGGCTTTCTTTTCTTCTCCGAGAGACATAGCCTCTGCCCGTGGACAGCCTTTCATATTTTGTCTCAAATTGCCTGTGTAACAAGAAGAGGAAGGGCAGAGTTACGCACAGTCAAACCACCTATGCTGCTCCCAGGGCTGCGCCTACCCTGCCCTGGAAACTCCATCTGGAGAGGAGGCGTAGGTACTATTCTGTAGCATGTTCCCATTGTTTTCTCCCCTTTCCTTCTGATACCAATAAGCACATTGTGACTGGATGGACATGGGGAATCCTACTTTGTTCTGGAATGAAGGACTGGATTCCTGGGATGCTCTTAAAACTCACAGTCCTTGCTGTCTCTCACCACTCATCCCAGAGCCCCCACCCCAAGAGCACTCCCCTTCAAAGCATCAGTCCAACAGGATTGAAGAGCAGAATGTTGAGAGGGAGCTATTCCCAGCCTATGGCCCAAGTAAAATGGTGAACCAGTCTAGCTAGCCATGTGGCTGGGCTCGTGGTCACTGCATGTATTTATGGGGAATTACTCCAGACATAAACATAAGTTAATGTTAGTGGACATTTAATGTTCTGAATGTAAGCTACTATTGTTTATTCTAGGTAAATGTAACTTGCTGGCATTGTTCTTGAATTACTGATGCATTTTTTTTTTTAATATGGATCATGAAATACCAGTAAAATAAGGCACTTAACTTTGGCCTGGTTATTGTAAAAGATGACATAACTTGCCACTTGCTAATTCAAATCTACAAATTATACCTTATGGTTAGGTACAGTTCAAGGAAACATTTGTAACTACTAGGGAGGAATTGGCTGTTACCTAGACTCCAATCATTCTAGCTCCAGAAGTTCTTGGCTACAAAGAATGGCAACTAGACCCAAGGACATGGTATTAATGAAAGACAGACCTAGAACAAAAGAGGAGTTGTGAAGACACATGGGCAATTGTATGATAGGTTTTCTAAGGACCAAAGCTTTGTAACACATTTAAAAAAAAAATTCAGAATGTCAAATCCTCAAATTTAAACAAGGTCACATAGCCATTGTACAAATAACCGTGGATTCCCATGGGTCATAGGATATCCAGATGTACTTTGTCAACGAAGAAGTTATGAAGATACCAGACAAAAACTGCACATGTGGCATGTTTTTCTTAAATGGTGTGGCAATTCCTACAGTAAACTGAACCCTTTGTATGGGTCTCCTCTTTAAAGGTAACTTGTTGCTGACCTGGTTTCTTCTGTATGCTTTTCATTCTCAGACTGGATGTTAAAGACTGAATGCAAGCTCTTGGTGATGTAGGGATGTCTGGGGAACTTCTGTGAGTGCTCGTTTACCTGAATGGCGCTTCTGCCCTGTCCATCTGCATGCAGACTAGGAATGGATACTGTGAGAACTGCACTGTTGAGATGAACTCCAGGCCTGCCTCTGTCTCCGCCCTGCTTTCCAGGCCAGCCTTCACAAAAGATGAGTCCACTGTGACGTCGCTGTTGATTACCACGGCCACCCTGGAATTTTTGAAAAACACCTCTTATTGTCACAGTTAACTGAACAGGACTAAGAGAACTTCACCAAGTCTCAAACTCGTGGTACCAGCAGACTGGTGGGACATGCTTAAAAGTGGAGAAGTGACCTCAATACACATAAAACCAGGACACGGTGGTGCCAAGGGTTGGCTGCCAATGGGTTGCTCTTTCCCCAGACATCCCTTGCCTGGAATTCTAGACATGGGACCTACGTGCATACCACATACAATGCTGTTTGGGATGTCTGTACCAAGGACCAAGATGAAACATGCCTGGAACCTAGTCCTCTCTCAGTCCCAGAAACTCCCGCATTTTCTTAAAGGGAAGTGTGAACACACGAGAAGACAGCTGACATTTGTGGTAATTTTCTTGTCAGCTGTCTCCCTTGGCTTCATGTTAGCCCATTCAGTGCCATGTCGTTGCTTCTGAAAGGTTCACTGGAGGCGTGTATGGTTGCCAAGATACCTGGCAGAGTGTTGTGTGACCAAAAACCATCCCCGTAGATGAGCAAATAGGATGGCTTAGCAGTGGCCACTTAGAAATAGACAGGCAGGTTAGGGACTAGGGCATGCGGCTTGGATAACAATGAAGAAGTTAAAAAAAAAAAAACTAGTACAACTTGATATTTCTTTAAGCAATTGTAAATTTCAATTAAATGTGGTGGAAACATACACTGGCAATGAAATCAAATTTACATGTCCATACATTTTTGAAAAAGAGATACTAATTTTTGTCTAGGAATTATAAAAGAATTTCTGCTGCCGTTGTTCTAGTATAGAACAGGACAATGGGTTGTTTTAACCTTTTGTCATTTAGCAGAATCTTCTACTGTCTTATACTCAAGCAACGTTTAAGAGATATTTAAGTGAATGAATGAGCAAATTAAAGATAGAAGACAGATCAGTTACAGTTAGGATGCCAGGAGAATGGAGGGTTGAAGAGAAAAATGGCCTCAATAAACAATGTATACTTAGTTGAAATTATGCTTATGTTTTATATTGCAATATTAATATGAGGTCTTGGGATGGACAAGAAGGAAAGGCTATGGTTTAATAGCAATGTGTTTGTTCATCAAGATGACAAGGGATCAACTGTGCTGGCTAGCTTGGTGCCAACTTAACAGGAGTTAGAATCATCTGGGAAGAGGGACTGTCAATGCAGGCGTACCTGAGGGCATTTTCTTAATTAGTAATCGATATGGGAGGGCCCAGCCCCTTGTAGGTGTTGCCACCCCTAGGCTGATGGCCCTGGGAGCTATTTTTAAAAAAAAAAAAAAAAAAAACTTATTTATTATATATACAGTCTTCTGTCTGCATGTGTGCTTGGCTGGCAGAAGGGGGCGCCAAATTTCATTATAGATGGCTTTGAGCCACCATGTGGTTGCTGGGAATTGAACTCTGGAAGAGCAGCCAGTGCTCTTAACAACGCCCCCCATACTATTTTTAAAAAGCTGGCTGAGCAGCACCCCTTTTGCCCTCTGATCCTGCTGTGAGTTACTTCCTCAACTTCCCTTGAGGATGGACTCAAGCTGTCCTTCACTACAAGATGCAATAAACCCTTTCCTCCCCAACTTGTCATGATGTTTTATTACATCTATAGGAACCCCTAAGGAAGACAAATGTCAACTACTAAAGTGAAATGTGGAGAGTGAGCCTTCATCTAGTGCATTGATTGTGGATGTCTTTAGAAGCAGAAAGACCCTCGGTGCTCAGATTGACCTGTTTCTAAGATTCTATCAATGTAAGGAGTTCCCATGATCATGTCCAACCGAAGCATACAATCGAAAACAAAAAGCACAGGTTTGGAAAAGTCTGAAGGTTAGATAGCTCCCCAGACATAGTCTTGCTTTTCTTTGCATTGTGCTTACCGATTTTTCACTCGGGTTTTGGATTCACGATACCACAGACTGAATTCCATTGAACCTGAAATATCGATAGCCAGACCTCCCTGGATCTCCATATTAGCCTTTAGTCCAGATTGCAGCTGAATATCCTAGAAGCAAAAATTACAGTAATAAGCACCGCTTAGTTAATGCCTCTCACAGAGACACGTTTGACTTCTTGCTGTACAGAGAATACTGAACTGGTGCTGCTAGCAATGCTCACTTGTTTATTTGTTTGTTTGTTTGAGTGTGAGCCCAGGACCTCTCACCCTCTCTGCTAGTGTTCTGCCCCCAAACTATACCCCTAGTGAAGAAGGCTTGGAAACATGTTATTCCAATCTTGGTCACCATTGCTAATTTGCTAAGTAAGTCAGTTAAAATAGCAGAGGGTTGGAATATCAATTAAGAAGGCTGTTTTCCTTCAGTCATTGCCTTTCTCTGGGTATGTGTGTGTGTGATTCATTTTCAATGTGTGGCTTCTGGCAGAGAGTCAGCACTATAGGAGCAGTTTCAAAACGCACTTTCTCGGGCACGGGTACCCCAGTCTTCTGCTTTAGGAACTCTGAGGGTGGGGCCCAGCAACCTCCTTCAGAGGGAGAGGCCTTCTTGTGATTCTGACACAACTAAATTTGAGAACCACGGGACCAGGAAAATGATGGTATTTTTGTCAGAAGCCCAGCCATGACTTTTTTTAGAAATATCAAGATTGGACAAACGATCTCTTCAAGATCTTAAGCGCGTCTCTGGTTTTGTGTCGGGGCAAACACAGGCAAACAGAAAGGCAGGATGGAAATCCCCAGTGCGGTATTCAAGTTCCTGGAACTGCCTAGGTCGAGCTAGAAAAGGAAGGGAAGGCAACTGAACTAAGCGCCTGCTGTTTGACACTTGAAATAACTCCAAAGGATGGTCTAGTCAAGCGCAAACTCAACTGTATTTCCCAAAGGCATGGTGGCCACTTAAAAAGAAAGCCCACCCGGATGGCTCTCTTATTGTCTGAAGCCCACAGCCTTGTAGTGTTTGCCTGTGTTTAGGTTTTTATTCTCATACATCCCCTGCACATTGAGTGGGGTGATGCTGGCTGAGGACGTTTTGTGCTGGACTGGAATCAGGTGGTCTGGGTCAGTGCTGAATGTGATAATGATTCCGGGAACACAGCTCTGAGTCCTTCACTTTGGTATTCCTCCAAAGATGTTAAGAGTTCCTGGCGGCTAAGAGCATGACTAACTTCTTTGTGCGGCTGCCATAAGCAGACCAAAAGGCCATGCATCTGCCAGGTACCAATGCCATGACTGCACTTTTTAGAAAGGGCTGTGTACAACTGTTCTCTCTGAATTGCAAACAAACAGAAATACCAAACATGGCAGGGAACCTCAGAGGACTGGTTCATACCCAAGCAGAACAAGAAAGTTTGACCTTGATAGGAATATGCTTTAATTTTGAAGGACACTCTTGAGTGCTCTGTGCCAGGGCTGGGACACATGAGGTGATATCCCTAAAGATGCTTAAAGCGGTATTTACTCTAGGACAAAATCTGGCTGCCATAGGATCCAGGAGCTATGTCACGCTTCATAACCAATGTAAAGAATCACAACCTGTCCTGTAAAACCCACAACAATCGTGCCCAAATGTGTACTTAAACCTATGCCATGCATGACACCAGAGGTCTGCTGTACACTGTGCCCGGCCTGTTGCCAAGTAACTACTGTAGTGTCCTGACCCAGGAATACTCCTTTCTTTGCATAATCTTGTTTTCTTGACTGGGAATCTATACACCTGTTAATCCATTCCGACCAGCGGAACCCTAAGATGTAGATCCCAACCTTCTCACAGGCTGTGCATTAGCTGGGCCATTTAGCATCCAGACCACAGAAGAGAGCATTTCAGTTATCGGCCAAAAAGCCTGTGTGAGAAGAGCATTTTCACAGCAAGAGGTTTGGAGAAACAGTTTGGCAGAGGAAGAAGGAATTGTACTGGATCTACCTGAGGACAAACCAACATTCCCACCCCCCACCCCCACCCCCACCCCCACCCCCACCCCTGGGAAAGGGACTAGACTATACAGTGCAGTGGTTCTGTTCCTTTAAGAAAATTAAGAGTGGAGGTAACAGATCTTGAGCAACTCTACGCTCAAAGCCTTACATGTGAGAAATCATTTAAACATGGTGCTGATCTACACTGGAGCCATTGTAATTCTTCACTGATAGGAAAAACGATGGTTTAATCTGCACCGGGAGCACTGCACCGGGAGCACTGCACCGGGAGCACTAAATTGGGAGTACCGCACCGGGAGCAGTGTCTAAGTACAATTTTTTCAGCTACTGTTCATAGCTGTCACATAGTTACAACTCTGTCTCACGGTCTGTAAGAAAGTCTGTTCTGAGGAATGTTGCAAAGAAGATAGAGCATAAACAAGTCCTCAATTGGCCCTGAATATATATGTATTTAATATTTTGTCTATGGACTAGAAGAAGAAGGTGTTGGAGCTTGGGATGTAATCTCTTTGATTTTTAACTATGACCTGCAAGGTGTTTTTTGTTTGTTTGTTTTTATAGAACAGGCACGGGTATTTTTGACAGCTCATCACATTGCTTCTATTTAAGAAAATGTTATTTCTTGGCTAAAGAGATTCCTCTTTTTCAGACACCTGTCTCTGAAATGTAATCCAATGACAGACAAAGACAGACAGACACACTTACACACTGAGAGACAGAGACAAACAGAGAGGGACAGGGACAGATACACTCACAAAGAGAGACAGACACACAGAGACAAATACAAACAGATATACACACAGAGAGAAACAGAGAGACAGACCCAGACATACACACAGAAGGAAACGGAGACAGAGACAGACAGACACATACAGAGTGACAGACAGATACAACACAAACACACACAGAGAGACAGAGACACACAGAGAGACACAGAAAGGGAGGAAGAGAAAGGGAGAGGCAGAGGGAGAGAGAGGGTGAGCACACTGAGTAATTCTAGCTACCCTGGTGGCTGTGACAGGCTGCCAGCTGCCAATGTTTCCTTCAATGTCAGCACTTGACCTGGAGTGGTGTGCTCTTCTGAAGCTAGCATGGCATCACTGGCATGTTCTGCAGAGCCGAGGGCCACGGCAGTTCATTTGTGAAATAACCTCAAATCTGCCGCATACCTCAACCTGATACTCGGACACTGGTTACATTTAATAGCGAAAGGGGCAATCTCTCATAGACCACGCCTAGCCCAGGGCGAGGTATCTTAATGAATAGGAAAACCATACAAGAACATTTAAGTCAAGGATTAACAAACTATAGCCTGCAGGAAATTCTGCCCAACTGGCTATTTTTGTAAATACATTTTTTTTTTTGAACACAGCTCTACTCATTTGATATACTGCTGACGGCTGTTTTCACTCTGTAATAAGGCTGCGTAGGTGTATGGAGACCGTTTGGCTCTTGAAGCCTGATATGTTCACTCTCTGCCCTTTACAGGTTTGCCAACACCGAGTGTTTATTAATGCGTGGCTTGAGGGTTGGAGAGTATGAGTGGCACCTTTCCTTTTCCTCTTCATTCACATGAAGAGAAACGTGCTTTTCTTCACAGAGCACCTACACCCAGGGCGGAGCTGTAAAATCCAGCTTCCCTTGCAGCTAGAGATAGTTGTGTGACAGCACTTTGGACAATACCATCCATTGTACCAGGGCTTCTCGATGGCCATGCAGCTCTTCACCCTCGCCTCCCTTCTTTGGGGGACTGGGGTTAGAAAGGAAGTGGTAATCACATAGTCAGGAAGTGACAAGCGTGAGATCAGAAGTTCCAGCAAAGCTGGACATGGTGGTACTCGCCCTTAGTCCCGGTACTGGGGAGGTGGAGGCCGGCAGACCTCGGTGAGGACAAGGCCAGCCTGGTCTACACAGTGAGTTAGGCAGGCTGAGCTGAAAGGCACAGATTGTGGCCCCTGAGGATTTCTGTGTTAACCCTAGACTGCCTGCTTCTCAATGCTTGTTATGTCATAAGAGTCACACTATCATCGTTGTCATCTGTGTCTACTTTGGACTTATATAAGATATACAGATAGAACATCACATTTAATTCCAGCCATTGCTATTTTGGGGTAAATTCTAACAAAAAAAAAATGGGATACTTAAGCCTTCCTCAGCTCTTAAAACCTGTGACTTCATAACCAGAACCTGAAAAAAGAAAACCAGAATCCTGAAATGATTTGGTGGAGAAGATACAGGGTGAAATCTTCAGATCTGCCAATCTGTTCTTCACAAAGGAAGCCAGTCCCATGGTATGTAAATCTTAAGTGAAATCTTGTAACACTTCAATACAATAAATACCAGTTAGAGTACATACCAATGCCCAATAAGATGCTACCTAGCACTGTCCCATTTTTAACATCATTGTGTACATAAAACACTAAAGAAAAAGATGTAAGCATCAAACCCTCATCTCGAGGGCAGTTCAGATGACCCCTCTTCTGTTTCTCAGAAAATCCAAACGGGCAAATCAGCTGAATCCCACAGTGTCTTTTTTTTAGTCACCAAAACTCTTCTACGTAAAAAGGAGTATTATAAGACTTAGAGCCAAAGAGCTCTTAAAAAGTCCTGGAGAATAAGTAAGGTCAAGGAAGCGAAAGTACTTTGTTTTCTAGGAAATGAGCAAGCATCTCTAAGAAGGAAGCTGAAACATGGGCTGGTGTGAGCAGTGGCTCAGGCTTTCACTAGTATGACATCATAAAATGGTGCAGCACACTGATTTTCATAATCGTTGTCATTACAGTGCCAGCTCCCGCACTCAGGATAAATAGCCAAGCTCTTCGTGCAGGAAAAGCAAGCATGCAGGTAATGACACCTGTGCTGTGTTGCACCCAGGCATTCTCCACTAAGCAGCTGAGAGTAGAGAAGCAAACGATGCTTCTAGAAGCAATGGAGAAAGGGTCACAACAGCAAGAGAACCAACTGCATAAAGAGTGAGCTCCAAGACCCAAGGGCTCTAACTTGTATTCTCTAGACACATTGAAAGTGTGTCTGGTGGGCCTCGAGGGGCTCAGTTAGGTGGTGTCTGCTGTGCAAGCCTAAGACCTGATTTCAGTCCCCATCACTCATGTGAAATCAAGGCACAGCAGTGCACATCTGTAATCTCAGTGCTGGGACAGCAGACAGGAGAAGTCCTGGGGCTTGGTATCTAGCCATCCCAGCGTAACTGAGCTTGGCCCAGAGTCAGTGAGAAACTGTCTCACTGGGAAGCAATTGGGGAAGACATCTGAGGCTGACCTCTGGCTTCCACACGATCCGATCATACAATGATGTGCTTATTGTGCACAGACAGGCACGCGCGCGCGTGCGCGCACACACACACACACACACACACACACACACACACTGTGCTGGGACTCAATAAACACTTGTAGGCTGAGAGAGGTAGAGAGTTACCTGGGAATGGTCTATTAGCAGAATAAGCCCTTTCACCACGCTGACAGGGTCACTAGATGCTGACAACATTTTGGACATCAGATCACTGTATCCATTGAAAAAAGTGACGGGTCTGAGCTGAACGTCAAACAGGATGGCTGACATGCCAGCATAGGAATCAAGGTTTTCCTCTCCTTCATCAGGAGTGGCTGCAATCAAGCTTTCCAGCCCTTGGGCTTCAATGACCACCTGGGAAGAAAAGGGCACAAGGTTGATGGCCTCAGTTTCCCTGCTCCATAATGATGCAGCTGCCTCCAGGATACAAATAGGACTTTTCCAGGACCCAAACCCAAGTATCTTCCGTAACTAGGCAAGAATGAAAAAACTAAACCTCTGTGCCTGAACAGAATGGGGATTACTTTTCTCCGTGTAATCTTTACAAGTCCCCCTGCATGTATGGAAGATTTGATTCCTTTAGCAGATGAGGTGAAGACAGGTGAATATTCACTTAGCTAGGATGAGGCAGAAACAGAGCTGGGATGCCTTCTCTGTGACTGCAAAGGGCACAGGCATTCTGTTGGATGCTTAATCTCCCCACTCTGCCCCACACACTGGACCTGCCATCTTTGCCAGCCTTTGAAAGGAGAGGGGGAGGCAGTGCCCTCCAGTCTGCTGTTCTGAGAGGGTGCATTTGCACCATGTCCAACTTTCATCCATCGCCACACAATACGGCCACACTGTGAGGAAGCTCACACCCGATGACTAGCATGTAAGGAATTTTGCATATTTTCCATCCTGCATAGTCAGGCACTAACCACTGTGTGTTTGGCATTCCTGAGTGCATATCAGAAAGCAGATGGCAATGCCTTGGCATGGAGGGACTGTGGTGCTATTGAAGGGTGTGGACATTTCATATTGACAAGCAGTCAAGTCTCCATAGCAATGGATCATTTTTGAAGCTTGAGTAGCTTCAATTAGAAGGTTAGAATATGATATCCATTAAATTAAAATGATGGTATACTTCATAATAATGATAAATCATCACTTAATTTTGAACTAAAATCCAACCAGTTCTCAATTACCAACACTTGATTCTTTTCTCTCCTAGCAGTGCTGGAGAAATATAGGTTAACTCTTTAAGAAACCTACACTGTATTATAGTTTCTTGTAAGGGGCAATCAGTCTCTACAGAGATGAACAAGCACGGCATAAATTAAATACTTAGAAACACACCCAAGGAATCTATCTGTGAGTGAAAGTTTAACTAGAACTTTCGGCACGACTTCAATTCCGTAAATGTTGGTGTCTCTGAAGTTACAGAAAGACATCTGGAAAGTGAAGCAAACCAAACTACTTTGGTTTCAGTTTTGGATTTGAAACTTTACCACAGACGCCACCATTAGTTTACAAACATAGTCTGTAATGCTACTGTCAGTATATGTCATTTTACTCACAGCAGTTTCTTTTGCTAATAACTCATGGGACATGAGGTACCTGACTACCATGAAGATCTGCCTTCCCCAGGTACTGGAAGATGTTCAGGTTGCTCCTCCTCAGAATGCCGGAGCCAGAGTAAAGCATGTCAAGGCTGTATGTGGATGCCGCGTGGGGACTACCTAATGACAAAACAATCACGGGCTCAGTAACACTTCAGCAATGCTAATGAAAGAGTGGGGGGGATCTATGGGGGTCACGTACGTTCTATGTAGCCAGTGTAGGCAGAAGAGGACCCGCTCTTGGAGAAACGGTCGTAATTGTGAGCAACCATCTCCTTGAGGACCTGGCGGATCATTTTGCTGCAACACAGAAGGAAAGACTTCTCAGTCATGGCAATGTTTGTTTCCCAAGTCAAATTGGGAATGCAACCAAATCCTCAGTATTAGAAAGAGAAGGCCATGTTTTCCGCATGCTACAAGACTAAAGGAAGTCACAGCCAGGCATCAGGGCTGAGATGAGGGCTTTCCTCTTCATTCCCCAAAATTCAGAAACTTAGTTTGCCATCAAAAGGACAAAGGGTAAGGGTGGCCAGCTATGAGATGTCTTCAGCTGACTGGTGGACGCTTTGGGTAGAAAACACATCTCCGAGTCATCATGGTTATGTTGTTAAGATAATATATACATTTAAGGAAGCTGTGCCAAACGGGAGGCTCCACACATTCTTTACTTTTTCTACACCTTCTAAAATCACCACAGGCAGATGACACAAAACAATAAATTTCCAGGATTGCTATCTGTATTTTATACCACAGACAAAGCTTAGCAAAGCCTACCGGGGAACAATTCTACCCTCTAAAGCATTAACTCTTACTTCAGGCCTGTGTCGTGTTTGTGCAACCAGCACGGAGAGCTTTTCATTTCTCATCAGGCCCTACTAATCTACCAGTGACGGTAAAATTAAAACACATCAACCCACGCCCCCTCGGTCTGAGGCAGAAATGGTTTGCAATAAGGAGCGGCACTTTCTGTCTCCCTGTGTGCCAGGATCACCGGCTCACTGGACTTTAGCTTAGAAGTGAAAAGGTCATGTTCTCAAATAATCAGAGGGTTTTCATGTGGATGAACACTAGACACATCCTGCTGTGCCTCAGGGACAAAACCAGAGCCAATACAAAGGCATCAGTGTGTTGGAAACGGTTTATGGCAGCTGCCATCTTGACCATGTGGCCTAGCCTCACCCCACATGGTTCTTCCCTCGGCTACACGGGCAGCCTAGGCAGAGGGACAGTCTAGCCAGCTTCTGCCAGACAAAATCCATTTACTTTCTGCCTTTTCCTCTTTGTCTCTACTTCCTACTGGCTCTGTTGCGCATGGCTTGTTTGCAGAATCTTGTCCCCTTCCAGAGCAAACCTTGCCTGCTCCATCTGCAGCAGATCTCCTTTCTTGTCACTGGTGGTTTTAAGTCTACTATCTCTTTAAATGCCCCGTTTGCTGCAATGTACAAATCAGAGATTACAGTCTGGTTCTCCCTTTCTTATTTTTACCCAATCCTGTTTGATATAACTGTGTATATCTGTACATGTGATTTAAATTTAACTTTATATGTGAATGTAAGCTAGCTCTATATCAACTTAAATTCAACTGTGCTAAGTCATAACTATTTCTAAATTGTCATGTATCTTTAAATGATGGCAAACATTTAGGGTTACAAAGGTCTATTTCAAATTAACAAAATATTTATGCCACCCAATCCTTCCTGTAAGCTGTTTACAAAGGTTAAACTTCTATTACAAAAGGGATTTCCTTTCTCTACTACTTTGTCCTTTACAGGCATAAATCTAGCCTACTAAGTTGAAACCAGTTACAGTCAGGCTGGAGGGCTCTGAGTAAAACATCCCTCCACAGCCTCTCAGCTTGGATCCAGTTCTCCAGACAGATTAATTAATTACAGGGATAAAGTCTTACCTAGCCACCTATGTGCTTCAGACAAGTAACTAAAGGCAAATTTTGTCTGTGGAGATATACTAAATAGACAGACAGCACTCAAATGCTCCGAGATCTAGAGAATGTGGTATTTAAAATGTTTCATTAGAAAGCTTTTATAACAGAGAGACAGGCCAGCTGCTGGCACCACCCATTTGCTCCAAGAAGCAAATGGTGGACACTGAAGAAACTCTACCCACAAAAGTGGCAATGCTAACTACTGAGAAATCCTGCCTTTCATCTCAACTGCTGCAAAGTCCTTAGAGCAAAGGGCTCTAAGGACTGTGGACAAGAGGGAAGTGGAATCGACTTTCTCCACGTTGCTTGGGCCAAGGGTACGTAAGTTTTCCAAGAGCCCCTAATCCACAGGTCCCACGCTATCAGCAGAAGGCAGGTGTCCTTTGACCTCAACAACTGTGGAGGACCTGGGGGATAGCTGTCCATGAAGCCAGCTAGTAAATCTCTGTTACTCTCTAATCAATAATTCAGGTAGATTTTTATCCTTCTCAAGAACTCTGATGCTTTTGATGACTGGTAGCTTTGCCAGCTTAAAGCAGCAGCCAAGGCTCCAACTGTTATAAAACAGATTTCAGGAACAGGTGTTCTAAGGTTTATGTGAAGATAGGAAAAGTGTAAGATGTATGGAGGTCTGAGGATGGAAAGTCCTAATATAAGGTCTAATGCAAGTTATGAAGGTCTGAGGATAAAAAGGCTTACGTGATGACAGAAAAGTGATTTGAGGCATTCAGATAAATGGAACATGCTCCAGGTTTCTCTCTCTCTCATAATGCTAGTGTTCATAGTCTTAACATTTATCAATAAAGTTTTAATGACCTACTAATCCAATTCCGACAAAGAACTAAACACCATACTATGCCACTATACTATCATAACTGTAATTACAAGCTCAAAATTAAGGTGCTTTTCATTGTGCTAAAGGTATGTCAGTTTAAAAAGTGCTAATTCTTTCAGCCAAGTAATTTCTGACATGAGTATGCTGCTAATGTGCCCAATATTTATGTTTTCACAAACTCAAAGGATTCTTGTAAGATCCAGGGAGCCGAATTAGACCCACCCAAACATGTCAGATTCACTCCAAATAAATATTATTCAACCTCTTCCTGGTTCCAGGACTCCCTTCCCTCATCTTGGGACCCCCTGGGGGACCCCTCCTACATCTTACAATTCTCCCTTCTGCTCTGCCAACATCTTGCCAGATCAAAGAGACGCCAGAGTTCCATACAGCCAGGACTGTGATGAAACAACCAGCTATCCCAGGACATGGCAGCACCCCAGCTTTCTCAGACCCGCCAAAAATGATCAATGCCTCCCAAGTCAGCAGGAAGCAGTCTTGAAAACTCGAAATCCTTATTCCCTAACCTACCACACCTAACTCCCCACCTTTTTAATAATAAGAAGAAGTGGGAATGTTGGAAACTGGCATTCTTCTGGCCACTCCCCCTAATGCTGGGCGGAGAGGCGTGCCTGGCATGGCCCCATTATGGGCTGTGTAAGGGCTCAGTACGCATGTGCAAACTTATCCTTTAGAGCAAGTGCCCCCACCCCACCCTTTTTCTCTTCTGCTCCCGGTGTCCCTGTGTGTCTTCACCTCTTTTCTCTTCCCTTCCCCCTCCCTCCCCTTTCGAATAAACATCGCACTCAAGCTCTGTCTGCCTGGCATATTTGTCCCTCCATCTCGGTCACCCTTGCCTACCATGGAAGCCGCCATGGTCCCTCACGTGGGACCCCCATCTCCTCCAGCTTTACCCTATCATTGAAACAAATGAACAACTCAGTGTGTAGAAAGACACAAGAATGAGGTCCCAGCACAGATTTGCTAAGTGGCAGTGAGCTTCCTGACTGGCAGGGTCTGGTGTCACTCCCAGAGTGAAGTCCCTGCTGTTCCCAAACTTGGGCCTTGACTGAGGTCTGCAGTTGAGCAGCAAACTCAGGGGAGTTATGATGGAAGCCTGCACATTTCCCTCACATTTGAAAAAACGAAAGAGCATTTGTTGGAGTGAGTGGTTTGCTGCATTGTGCTACTTACAAAATTAGTCCTGTTGAAAATGTAATTGGGTTTTAAAACTTTGCTAACATTTGCTGATTTTATATACATATACACATACATATACATACATACATATATTTACCATACTACCTGGAGTTCCAAATCTCGGCCAGTGAAAGGGAAGCTGTTTTATCTGACTCTTTGTGGAAATTTGCCTTTCATTGAGTTTATGTAACACTACCCAGTGTAATGACCGGGTCATGGTTATTAGCTATGTGTGCCTGTCTCGATACCCAAATGGGTTTGAGTGGGAAGAGGCGTATGGAACGCATCGTACCTTGAGGGCATTTCAAAGTTCAGGATGTCTCGCACGAAGGTCAGCATGTATTTATTCATTTCTTTGGGCAGCTCCCCAATAGAGAGCAGAATGTTCTTCACATCCATGTAGGATGGGTTGCTCTTTAAGATGACGGCAGCGGCAGTCGTGCGCACAGTCTTTTCGTGAACCCTCCGATTCTGGTGGTATATCCTGTTCAAGGTCTTCTTCACCTGTTAGAGACGTCCAATCTTAGCACACCCATGGAGTTTTAAAATGGATACTGGGGGGACAGGGAGATGGGGTCATCAGGTAAAGGAGAGAATGACTTCAAAAGGTTGTTCTCTGAACTCTTCATGTGTGCCACGGTTCTCTGTCTCTCTCCCCCTCTCTCTCTCCCTCCCTCCACCTCTCTCAGTAAATTCATATAACAATGTAAAATTTGATCTTGTAGTGAGAGTAGCAAGTGCTTATTTAGATACACATGTGTTATTACATTGGCTAGATTCCTTTGAATTAGGTTGATTCCATGTGACTAGGCTAGCTTGGACCATGCATAGAATTGATGTGAATGGCTCTTAGACAGGAGCAGTTAAGACCTGGCATGCCTTCTGCATCTCTTTCATGACTGCTGTGAATCATAGCCACATAGTCCCTGACCCATGCTAGACACAGCATGAGCAGTAAACTGTGGATCAACTGTAAGGCTTTGCAGTTTATGTATCATTGTAATAGTGCTTGTGATTACCTAATATAGATTTCTAAGGCTGCTGCAGTGGTAATGAATTCTGGGGGAGAAGGCAATGTGATTCATTTCCTCTCTTTTAAAATAGAAAATCTAATGTGCCCATTCCCAAAAGTAGCCCATTCCCAAAAGTAGTCTATGTTCATGCTAAAGGTAAAAACAGTTTCCAAACTTTTCCCCAACCCCAACTCACGCACAGCCTCCCCATATTGGCATTCTGCACCAAACTCTGTGGTGTGAATGTTTTTCCCCAAAGGTTTACATGTGGCCATCAGTGTGGTGGTGTTAAGGTGGTAAAGCCCTTGAGAGGTAGTTTTGAGGGACATCATTCGGTCATTGCCCTCAGGAGGAATTAATACAGGTTTCACAGGAACTATAGTTCCTTCAACAATTAGTTTCTATAAGGGATTACATCACCTCTCTTGAGTCTTTATTCTACATGAACTATGCCCTTTTCTTCAGTTCTCCTTGTCTCTTGCCTGCTCCTATCTTCTCCAATCTTGCCCTTACTCTCAGAATTGTAGGAGTTCGATAACCCACCCAAGAGCAAACAACTAGGAAAGGGCCACCCAGAATTATAGCCAGATTGGTCTCCCTTAAAAGCCCACACAGTCAACTACTTGTCACACAAACGTGGTAAGAGACTCTCAGCTGTAGATGGCATCCTCAATGGTAAACACCCTCAAGGAAGCTCCTAGTGGAATGCTCTTCTTTAACAAAATCATAGTGTAGGCTTCTAGAAAACCATGCATGAGCAGGTGAGGTCATGTAGTTCAACCAGTTGGAAACTTAAACAATTTTCTGAAATGTACAGAAGCAAAGACATTTCTAAAGAGAATTTAGCTACCTAGCTAACTTCAATAATTTGTTTCTTAAAATAAGAAAATGTGTTTCAGGATACAGGACATATCTGTTCAAAATGTGAGGCTGGCTTAGGATAGCATTAAATACAACTTAAGAGTTATTTCTGAGCAAAAGGGAGTGACTGTTATGAGGAAAAAAACTAAACAAAAGCAGAGTGACTTGAGAGAAGATGGCATTTGGTTTAGCAGAAGTGTTTTTTCTCTCTCCTTCTGCGAGGTGTTTACCTCATCGGTGATGAAGGAGACATCATATCTCTGGAGCACAGTGATAGCCAGGTGGCTGATGGGCCCTTCTCCAGCCTCAGCGTACTTCAAAAGGAGCGGGATACCTTCGGGAAGCAAGGCATTCTTCAGAGCCAACAGGTACATCATGGTGTCCTCCTTTTTCTCTGGCTTTTCAAGTCCATTCAGGATTAGCTTCTTAGCCTCAACCACAGCCTAAAAGATCACACACCTCAGACAAATGCCCAGCTCCGTACTTAAAAAGAAAAAGTCAACTTTTAGGACGTTTGCTCTGGCTACCAAGTAAAGCTTGTTAAAGGCACCCAATGGTCTCAAATGTCTGTTTCCATGTTGTAGAGAAGCAGAGCATAACCAATAGTTGCCATTTAGTCTTTAATACACTCCAAACACAGAAGAAGCACAGTTATTCTCTATGGAGGACACTTTCTCAGCATCTCAAACAAAAGATAACTGTGGGTCTATATCCCCAGGTCCTTTTGTTCATCTTTGTTCATGGTTTAATACTACAGTGTCCATGGACCTCTTGGTGATACCATGATTCATGGGTGCTTGAGACTCTTAAATAAAATAAAACAGTATTTGCATGTAATCTGTATGAACCCTCGTGCCTATCTGAGTCATCTCTACATGATGTGTTGTCCTCAGTATATTGTGACTGCTGGGTGAATGGCTGTGCTGTGTTGAATACATGGCCACTGCACTTGCATTTGCCCTCACTATTTCAACCTAAGGCTGGTTAAATCTCAGCTGGAGAATCCCCATAAGCAGAGGACTCGCTCGCTGTATTGGTATTTCTGCATTTGGTGAACTGACAAGGAATTCCTTGAGGGTGGTATGATATTCTGTGCGTCTTTATGTTAAAGGATTGGCATCATGCCTAGTACAGAGTCGATGCTCACTAAATAATGCTGAGTGGGTGCTTTTATGTATGGATTTTGTCTAAAACCAGCTATTTAATAATTGTTGAAATTGGACATGCAGAGATTTATCATTCACTAATATCTTAGACGTAATACCAGCTTTGATTTCTGTCAAACTTGACAAACATTTTCAACATCCCTGTTGCTAGCAGTCCTTTCTCATGTGTTCTATCTCTGACTGCTACCTGTGGCCTCAAGAATGACTCTCTGTATTGTTTTTAACAACAAGCATTTAGGAGGAGGAGGAGGAGAAGAAGAAGGGAACTGAATGCCAGCTCATAATAAGAATGGGAAAAGGGGCTGTATCTATTCAGCGTTTTAATGGATTTTACTAGATTTTAATCCACTTGGTTTTCCGTATATAGTTATGCTTACAAAGTAAATTCTTTTCTATTTTTTTTTAATGGAACATATGAGAGATTTGATAGCCTACTCAGGCAAGCAAAGACATTTTTGCAAATAGGACCAAGATACAAAGTTGTAGGTGATTAACAGCGAGTAAATTCATAGCACCAAAACTCACATATGAAGAAAACGTTCCAATCAAGGAGGAAGTTGTGGAGTCCCATAACTTCTAAGGACAAGAACACCACTCAAAAGAGATGAAGAAGATCATTCAAATGTGGTAAAGGGTAAATGTCATCAAGAGAACAGAAAGAACTACAGACATATGCACATGCAACAACAGAGCATCTGAGGTATGAAAGGAGACACACTGCCACCCAAGAAACACACAGGACTTCACGGGTCACCCAGACAAAGTCAACGAGGAAACACTTGAACTCCACATGGGGGCAAGCATATCCCAGTCATAGGCTGAACATCACATCCAATACCTACAGGGTAGGTTTTCTTCTCAAGGACACACAGAAAATTTGCCGGCTATGTCATCTATTAGGCTACACTATATCTTCAGGGGTTTTGTTGTTGTTGCTTGGGGGCTTTTAGTGGCCTGGAGCTCACTATGTAGACCAGAGAGCTCTAGATCCTCTATTTCCCGTGTGCTGGGACTAAGGGTACACAGCACTATATCTAGTACACTGTAAGTTTTAACACATTTAAGAAGACTGGAACCATATCAAATATTTTCCAGCCACAATTAAGTAAAACTAGAAATCAAATAGAAGAAAGAAATAAAGGGAAATTAACCAATATGTAGAAATTAAACAGTATTCTCCTGAACAACTGTTGGGTCAAAGAGAAACTTAAAATATACATTCAGGTAAATGAAAAAGGAAATACAACTCGCTTCATGGTCACAGTAAAAACATCCCTGAGAACAAAGCTTAGAGCATACTTGCTGACATCAAAAGGGATCTCCAATAAACATCATGTTACGTTTCAAATAACTGTTGTTAAGAACTAAAGAAACTCAAAGTTAGTAGGAGGGAGAAAATAACAAAAACCAGACAAATAAGTGAAGTAGAAAATCAGGCAAAAGAAAAATCAATGAGAATAAAACTGTGAATTTTTAAAATATAATGGAAATCAACAGACCTTATGCTAGAATAAGAAAAAAAGACAAAAGAGTCAAATAGGCAAAATCAGATATGAAAGATGAGAAGTTCCCACTGATGACACAAACACAACAGGTCATCAGAGTCAGCCGTAAGGACTAAGTGTTACACAGAGACTGCACAACTTAGGGAAACAGCCCAGCTACTTGGAACATTTAGTACAAACAAGACTAAACAATGACACACACGACACTGGTAATGAACAAGACTGACTATGTAATCAAGTCTCCTGGGAAAGGAGGGCCCATGACCACATGGCTTTACATTTAAAGACAATCCTCCTCAAAGTCTCACAAACAACTGAGGAGAAGGAAATACCACTGCCGTCACTGTACAAAGCATTGCCCCATGTCAGAGCCAAGATACTAACAGAAGACTAGAAACTATCACTGCTGAACATAGACTGCAAACTTCTAACAAAGTAACAGCATCTGGGAGAAGGATAGATGGCTCCACAATGAAAAACACTTGATATTCTTGCAGAGGACCCTGGTTCATTTCTCCCATCCAAATGACGGCTCACAAACATTGGTAGCTCCAGTTCCAGAGCATCACACACCCTCTTCCGGTCTTCACAGGCACCAGGCACAAACAGAACAATTACACACATCCAGGAAAAGCACCCATATACACAAAATAAACCTTAAATCAGCAATAGTACACTAAAATACCCACATACACATTCTATATGATTGAGATTCATCTCTGTGATGATTCAGCCTTGATTTTGTACATGCAAATCAACAGATGCAACTGACCATACCAGCAGAGTGAAGGCCAAAACAATATGGCCATCTCAACAGAGGAAGAAGAGACACTAGGCAAAATGTTACCTTCTGATAACTCTACAAATTAGGTATAGAAGGAATGTCCCACGTGATAAAACTCCCTAGGTGGTGAATTCATAACTAACATACTGCACAGTGAAAAGCTGAAGGCTTCTCTATGACCAGGAAGAAGACAAGAATGCTTAGTAGACACTACTATTCTCCATCACACTTTAAGTCCTAGCCAAGAAATAGAAATAAAAGCCATAAAGTAAGAAAGTAAATATGTGAAACCACCTATTTTATGACCAGATGGCTTTAAACACAGGGAAGCCACTATCTCACTACTGGAACTAATGAATGGATTCTGTAAAGTGGCTGAACACAATTTCAACAAACATTTTCCCAAATGTTAATAATGTAATATCCTAAAAGGAAGGTATGAAAAGAATGTTTCTATAAGAGTATCAAAAATACTTAGCCAGGAAGTGAGCCACTGTGTACTGAATACTAGAAAATGGTTGCAATGACTAAAGAGACCACTAATAAGTAAAAGGATATGCCATGTAGGAATAACTGATATCATTAAATGTACATATGATCCAAAGCCATCTACAGAATTAATGCAATCCATATAAACATATCAATAACATACTTTAGAGAACTAAAAACTATAGTCCTAAAATCTGTACAGAATAAAAAAAATACTGAATGGTCAAAGCAATTGAGCAAAAGGAACAAAGCTAGAAACATCACAGTACTGTATTTTAAAATACAGTGCTGAGCAACACTCATAAAAACGTCATGGTTTTGGCATAAATTTATAGAAACAACAGTCTGTGGGATCAGACTGGGGTACATAAGCCCACACAGCAATGGTCAAATGATTTTTTCCCCACAAAGTGCCAAGAACACACAATAGGGGAAAATGGTGTCTTCGATAATGGCTTTAAGAAAATGTACATTCACATACAGAAGGATGAAAGTGGATCCTGAAATAACTCCAGTACAAGAATTACCTCAAAATGAGTTATAGATTTAAACTTGAGATCTGCAACTGCAAAATGTCTAGAAAAACAGCATCAAGGGCAGAGAGGTAGCACAGAGTACGAATACTCACCTTACTCCCAGCACCTGGGAGTCTGAGGTAGATTATGAGTTTGACGCCTGCTTGAACAAATTCAAGGCAAGCCTGAGCTACATAGTGAGGCCCCATTTCAAAAGTAGGTAATCCGTTGATGAAATTCAGTAGTGGAGTACACACACACACACACACACACACACACACACACACACACACACCATTGTCCAAGGAATTAAAAACAAAGACAAAAAATGCCCAAGTACATACATAGAGGACTATCAAAAAATGTGTATTAATAGGAGATTGGTGGGTGATTTGCTTTCTAGAGAATATTTATTGAGAGAGTATTTATTGAATACAATCTATATACTAGGAATCATTTAAGCAACTGGTGTTGAAAAGCAAAGATTCATCACTAGAACTTACATCCCAGTGAAAGACAGAAATAAACAAGAAAGCTAATGAGCAACTGAACTGTAAAGTAGGAGAGATGGGAATGATCACTAGGCAAAAAGGAAAAGGGGGTTGGGGACTGGGAAGTGACCATGTTGGCAGCGTAGCATTACATTGGGAAGTCTGGACAGCAGTGACATGAGACCAGTGGCACTTACTTTGAGCTTGCAACCTTCATTCTGACACAGCTTCCTGACAAGGGCTCCAATGATGATCATAACCGTTTCCCTGATGTCGTTGCTTGCAAAGGAACCTTTGAACTTACTCTGTGGCCAAGCAGGGATCAAACAGATCATCAGAACACTTCAGCATTCCAGAGGGACACTTTCAGTTAAGAAAGGAACAAACTTCCCGGCAAATGATTTTGTGTTTACAGATAAAAAACTCAGAATTTCAATTCTGCAGCACTTAGAAACATGGTGTCTAGTTTAGCATGAAATCTTACTAGATCCCAGGTGATCTTACTCATAGTCTGTGATTGCTCAGGCTAGTCTAGTCTTTATATGAACCAGGGACATCAATATGTGCATAGAAACAGCATGAAGATTTGATGCATCACATAGATGTTCCACTCCAGGGTTTTCCCCTTGGCCACATGGTGAGATAGGTGGCCATTATCTTCGGGCTGTCATAAAGTACAGGCTGTTCTGGTCACTAGACCTGCAAGACTCTAAGTGAGAAGATTTACTGCACTGTTGGTGCACAGAAAAGAGGCCAGAGAACTCTGAATGTGAATGCCAGGAGGGAGCTCTCTTTGCCCTCATCTCTCATTGGATCCACTTTAATGCCTGCTTATACTTAAGAAGTTTTTCGTTCATCACTTTTTAATTTCAGCAGCCCAGGGTCCCTATCTTCCCAATATCCCCCGACTTACAAGGAGGGCTCGAAGGAGTTCTTCATCGGGGTGGGAGGCAAATCCACAGGCATAGAGGAACCTCTCCTGGAGAACAATGCTGCTGTCACTTTTGAAATCCAAAAAGTCCAGGATGGCTTCCAACGAGTCTGGAGTCTGAGCAGAGGTGACAGCATCTACAAGCTGAGGTCTGTAAGACAGGCATCACTTCAGATATTAGTGTTCACAATGAAGCTATCACAACCTTGTCACTCACTCACTAATTTGAACTTCCTCCCAAAAGTACATTTTTCCTTTGAACAAAAAAATGTGAATAATACATTCTCAAAGAGATCTTAATTCTACTTAAACATCTCTAATTCTTTCTCTTTTCTCAGAACATACAAACTACTACACTATACTCGCCTAAGCAAAATTCAATTTAAAGATTTATAAGTTAAAATTATGTAAATATTTTTCTATGTAATGCATAGAATCTGAAGTCCCAAACTGAATACTTTTCTCTAGTTAGATATGTAAATATACACACTTCTCAAATGTCTCATTTAGAGCACCATTATAGATAGAAAATGCATAACTATTTTAACTGCATGTGTAAAAGAGTTTTTTTTTCCCTTTAAAAATAAAAAAACCACCATGCTATAGCTCTATTTCATCCACAACAAATGTGTTATTGTCTTCCATAGAAAGATTTTAGTTAAAAACTAGTCATAAAAAGTTATCTTTGGTTAGTTGAGTCTGGGCATGATAAAATTTTTAACTGATTTTTCACACTAACAAACACATGAATATAAATACTACATATTGAGCTCATGCTCATAGTGGCTCAATCCAGTAATCCTAGCAGTAAGGAGGCTGAGGCAGGAAAATCAACTCAGGTTCAAGGTCAGCCTGGGCTACATAGTAGTTTCAAGATAACCTGGACTACAGAGTGAAACTTTATCTCAAAACATATCAAACAAACAAAGTTGATTAATAGCTTGAGCACACAATTCCACAGAAGCGAGGCAACCCCCTCAGCAGAGCGTGAGTATAAACCCAAGCCTGTACTAATTTAGACTCATGGACACAGAACCATAGCCATGAGAATCGGTGAAAATGGGTGTACTTCCGGCCAGGTGAGCATTGTGTTACTGATCTGTGGCACAGCAATTAGAGTGTAGACTCTGATTTGGAGATTTGGAGGTAGGGTAGAAGATTGGAAGGGGTCCTTGTTGCATAACAAAAGGATTAGAGAGGCAGCTCAGTGGTTCAGGGCACTGCTACTCTTGCGGAAGAACCAGGTTTGATTCCCAGCACCCACATGGCAGCTCACAACAACCTGCTACTCCACTTCCAGAGGACCCAACACTCTCTTCTGACCTCCAGGGGCAGCAGGCATGCATGCTACATACATGACGTAGCAGTGTTCAAACACATATAGTACATCATTTTTTTTTTTAAATTAAAAGACAGTAACAGTGTGAAAACATTCTCTTGACAGATGACCCTGAGCAACAATGGGGGCTTACAGCACTTCCTTCTTCTCTGCCTTCAGGATCTGGAGGATCTCTTCTCTCCTTGCAGTCCTGAGGTGCTGAATGAAGGCCAGGAAGCTGCTGACGGCCTTGGCATTGGACAGGTTCTCAGGCTCTAGGTGTTTTCTGATAGACTGCCAGTGCTCCGCCAGCTGCAAACACAGGCACAGTGCACTTCATTCTGAGCTCCCAGTTTACAAAGGCAGCCATTCTCCACAGAGATGCAGCCGTCACCCAGCTCATTTCATGTGCAGTGTGAAGCTAGAAGCAAATACAGCGGCCTGCTCCTCTGGGGGCCATACCTCTGCAGTACCATGTCTGTGGGTGCTGAACTAGCAGGACCTTGGACAGCGGCCAAATGATGTTTGGCTGTGTGGGTCCTTCCATGACTGTTGTGATGACTACATCTGAGTCCTGGGCTTTTAGCACACTAGTGAAAGAGTGCGGAATTTTAATTATCAGCAGGGTGTCTGGTATTTGTGAAGGGCAAAGTGAGAGCTGTTTCAGAGCTGCACACATTTTCTAACTTACTTGAACCTCGCTGAAAGTCAATTTTTCCAAATAGTTCAAGCTCCCTACTTTTCTTACAGAATCAGTTGTGTGAAATCCAGTGTCAGGCTGTTGTTAGGATCTGAACTGTCCAGAGATTGTATCTATGCTTAGGGGGCAGTATTGAGGAAAAGGCCATTTCTCGCCACTTCTGTTATCATACAGTGGTGTTAAAAACAGTAACGATTGTAGCCAGTGAATCTTTCTGCTTTGAAACAAGCCCCACTTCAGCATTTTTGTACCTCACTGCCTAGAACCTTACACTCCATCAGCCTGTGTGGTAAATCACCTGTGTGATTTACCTGTGTGTTAACTCAGCTGTGTGGTAAATCACCAGCCTTCTGTATTAAAATGATTGACTCCTTTATCGAATTAGCTGGTGTTTTTGCTGCAGAAAGAGAGAAAGGAAAAAAAAGGGAGGAAGGGAGGGAGAAGGGAGGAAGGGAGGGAGGGAAACAGGGACGGAGGGAGAAGAAGGAGGGAAAGAGGGAGGGAGGGAGAAGAAGAGAGGGAGGAAGGGAAGGAGAAATGGAGAGAGGGAAAGAGGGAGGGAGAAGAAGGGAGGGAGAGGGGGAGGGAAAGAGGAAGGGAGGGAAAGAGGGAGGGAGAAGGGAGGGAGGGATGGAAGGAGGGGAGGTGAGCAATTACAATCATTAGTCCTGAGTTTGTTCACACTTACAGAAGGGCATCCTTGGCAGGCACGCTGGAGGACCTGCCCCACTATGGGGATGGCTGTGTATTTTGAATCAAGTGCTTTAATCACACCTGCAACTTGCTTCCCAGGTACCATCCTTGGACCTGCCTCAGTCGTCTTCAGCTCCAGTTTCTGCCTGTGCAACACCAAATGGAAACAGCATATTATAAGAATGTATGTATGTATGTATGTATGTATGTATGTGAGAAAGAGGAAAAATACAGAAACTGCAACTCTTTAAGAAAACACAAAGCCAACTAACTTATTCCATTTATACCCGAGCTGCAGAATTTCCAGCAACACCTTAAACCCCAAGAAAATTATAAAATTTCTCTGGTGTAATTATTTTGTTCAAATATTGGAAGTTAAGTCTAGACTTTCAAAATATCATGCCAAGAGAAAATTTGCTTGGGTGCTGGACAAGACATGGGGTGTCAGCCCTTTTGAGCTTAGTCCTGCTTTTTGAAAATCATGTTCAAGGCAATCACATGTCATCTATTAACCAAGACAGCCAACAAAGCTTGTTGAGACCAAAAAAATGGTCTCAATAGTGACTTTTTTTCTGATATACTTTCCTAGAGTTTTGTCTTTCTGTCATCAGAAGATAGGAAAACCTAGTACTTAGTATATGTTACTATAGATTGTATGAAAAATTAAGATGAATAAGTTGAACTCAAAAATTTTTCAAGGACTTCATTCCTAAAGAAGCCATGTGTGATGCACATGGACACACACACACACACACACACACACTTACTTACAATAATGTATAAAAGTTGAATATAATACTGTATGAAGGGAAATAAAAGTTTTGTCTTACTTTGATACTATTTTTCCTGCAATGGTTTGTAGGAAATTCAAGGCAAAATCCCTTGTCTCTTCTGCATGCACAGCTGTGACAAAGCTGTCCTCTATCTTATAGGTGGTGACAGATTTGGCTTTTGAACTGACACCCAATACCTGCATGAATAAAGAAATAAGTGAATGAGTAGAAAGTAATTATCCTTGATCTTCAATTGAATCAAACAGCAGCTGTCTTTCCATTTTCAAAAGATGCCTCTTTTACAGGATTGCCCATCATCCACACCCACAGAACATTTAAATATCTACTCACTTGGCACATGTGAAAATATAACCTAAACTAAAAATGATAAACGTCTTCACGTCATACTGCTTTGTTCTCTCCTGTTATCTTAAAGCTCTACAGAATGCCACTATTGAATGCCCCACAGAAAGCAATACCTGCCATACCTGATTTACTGTTGTAAATCCAGCCCTCTCAATTTTGCATGTATCCAGGGCCTTAATCTTGACCACTTTGTCATGCTGAGCCTGGTAGGTCACTTTGCAATCCCCAGAGATATCTACCTGGAACAGAAGTAAGAGCATACTGTTTGGGATGTTGTGCAGACCATCTGTGTTCTTCGGGAAAGAGGCTTCATTCCTGGGCTCCATAATATGCCATGGCAGAACCCCACCTCACCCCAGGGTGACATAACAAAAAGCTTAAGTACTCAAGGGCTCCTACTGGGGTGCTGCTTCTCACTTTCTTCCATGGAGTCTTAAAACGCCTCCTCTGCTATCCCAGGAATCATGGACCATCCTATTTCTCTCTGAGCGTAACTGAAATCTCTGGTCACATGGTAATTATCTGGGGAGGGGGAGGTATTTTTACAGGCTGTATCAAGATGGTGTGTGATTTTTAATAGAAACATGATCATTATTCTTGAGACCCATGGAACTGACTAAATCCATTGCTACTCATAATAAAATATTGAGTTTAGACAAAAACACCTGAATATGGACTCTGCTCTGCTCTCCCAGCTTTTGCTTTGGGTCTCCTGCTGGTACCACATCTCCTGCTGCAATGAGGTATGCATGAGGTAAGGAATGAGGCTAACCCTCATTCCCTCATCCCTCCTCTCATGGACTGGAAGACTTAAGACCAGGAAAGCTGGTGTACAGCTTGGCTCAAATCTGATAGCTGGAGATCTACTTAATTCATTTCTATTTCTTTTCTGAATTAGGGGACTTGGGGTAAGTATTGACTCTACACACTGACACTGCATTCCAAATAGCTATGATTACTAAAATGCAGGTGTTCAGCTTTTTGTTTATTCATGATTTTTATCATCCTCTGGGGTAAATCCAGGGACTGTATTTCTAATATGCTGCCCCACAAGACAGCAGCAGAACAGAGACACCTGACAACTATCGGGTCCCCAAGGTTTTCTGCATATGTAAAAATTATTCAAAGTCCTTTTAATATAGTTGATTTCAATTCTTTAACTCTGTATTTAATCAATAAATAATTTCATATGTAAATGAGATATGACTACCCAACCTAAGTCAACTTTTCTAAAACAGTACAGAGGTTGTACTTTTCTGTGGAATTTCAATGGGCAGAAATTCTTATAAACAGTTTTGAAATGCCCTTTGACAAGATGTTGATTGATTGATTGATTGATTGATTGATTGATTGGCCTACTTATTTATTTTGTAGTACTGAGGCTTGAACCGGGCCTCATGTATGCTCAACAAACTCTACTACTACTGATCCATATCCCCAGCCCATTTTTATATTTTATTATTGCTAGAGAGGTATTTGTGTGTTATGAAGGTATATGTGGTAAATGCATGTGTGTACACCTGTGTGCATGTGTGTACATCTGAGTGTATGCGTGTATACATACTTAATGTGTTTTCCTCCATCACTTTTTCCTTATTCTCTTGAGAAAGGTCTTTCACTGAACCTGAAGCTTGCCGCTTGGGTCAGCAGGGCTGGCCAGTGCACTCTTGGAAGTCACCTGTCTCTGCCTCTTGCACTGGGTACCAGCACACAAGTGGCCACACCCAGCTTTTGTAAGGATGGTGGAGATCTGGTGGGTTTTGCTAAGTTACCCAGGCTGTCTCAAAGTTACTATGTGGCCTGGGCATACCTTTGCTTAAAATCTGGCTTTAGCTCCCAAGTAGCTGATATTATAGTTGGACCCCCCTCCGCTTACCCTCACCAAGATGCTGAATTCTTAGAATCAGCACTAAGTACCTCATTGGTGGTTCCAGAGCTTAACTGCATCTGGAACAAGCTAGCCAAGCCTCTCTTGAGATTTTCTATGCCCACAGGCTCATTTTCATATGAGTAGAACTCTTTGACCTAAAGGGAAAAAGAAATAAAAATAAAACAAAGGTCATTGTTCATCAGATCTGGTTAAACATGTGGCTTGAGGGCCAGGTTCTCACCCCTACTGAAGGTGTGAGATAGTTAGCACAAAGCTGTGATTTCTTTCTGTGAAAAGAAGCAGGTTTTATTTCTAAGAAGGACATCAGGACATGGGGCGTAGGAGCCAAAAATGAAGAATCTGAACGTAATGACAGTTATTACAGAGTCAGGAATTTCTGTGAAAACCAGGGCTGTGAAAGGAGGGAACTCTAAGAGCATGCCTTTACTTCACATCACACACTTTTCTCTTATAACTCTGCCTGGAACACAAACTGACCAATGAAGAGAATGACAATTGCCACAAAAGGCAGATTCCTGAAAGGGCCTGATGTCTGCAGGCTACAGCAGGGCCCAGGTTTGCCCACAGGTTTGCAAAGAGAGCGAATGCTGATGCTGCTCTGGGCAAAATACAGAGAGGCTGGAGGACCTGCCGGGTTGTCTACTACACAGCCTGCCCGTGGCTACTGTTTAAGGTTCTCCTTAGAAGGCGGGGAAGATAGAAATGAGAAGAGCGATTTGGCAGGAGTAGGAAATGATGTGACTCTGTTTTATCCTTGCCATTTATTGGCACCGTGTCTTTTATTATTTTAATGAGTCAGCCCATCTTTAAGAAACAGCACAAAAATGTCAAGAGAAGGTTTTAGAAAGCAGCCTACTGTTTTCTCCTCAGATTGACTTTAAACACATCACATGGTTTAGACGAAAAGGACAGGCACGCCTTCCCTGTGAAACTTATCACGGTCTTCAGAAGCTGTGGCAGAATACTTCCGGCCCCCAAATTCCCAAGCTGTGGCAGAATACTTCCGGCCCCCAAATTCCCAATGCTTTCCTAATTCTCAAAACCCAAACATAGAATCTCAAGTAAAACAGAAAGTTCAGTAATGTGGTAAATTTAATTACTACCAATCCCAATAATTCAGCCTACCTAAAAGTCTCTTAGAGGACAATATTGTACCTGAATTAAGCTCCCAGGTGCCTCAAATCCCTATTTTTACTTCCTAGACATGCTCTGCCTGGGGACAGGTTTTCTGGCTACTGTATCTATGATCAGTTTTAGTCACTCCCCTGCATAACCCTGCAGTGTTAGAATAGTGTTGTTTGTGCTGGTTAAAAGGGAACTGTGACAGTGACCTCACTGTCTGAAAATCCAGGGATCATGTTCTCAAACAAACCACTGGCCATTTCTCAAATCCAAGTTGGCTCCCCGATGCTCTATACTATAAACTGGATTTCCTTCCTTTAGTAATAACAGTAAATAATCTGGAAAGCATCAACTCGGAGACACAACTGGTAGCTATTGTTTTTCTACAACTAGAAAAGTAGACAAGCCTTTTGCTTTGCCATTTGTACGGCTGCTATTTCAGAAGCCAAACTGTTCATTATTAGAACAGGCCAATGTGAACCAAAGTAAAGATAGCATCCTTATTCATATGTATCAAACATCGAAATCACTTAACAGTGATAATATTAATAAACTGGAACTTTGAAGTTTGACCCGTGTGTCTGTCACAGCAGTAATCTTAAATTCACTGTTTCACAAGAGGAACTGAGTATGTTTTATGGTGTTCAGGTCATAAAGCTGATAACTTCATCTAGTTCTGAAATGAATTCTAAATACCCGAGTGCTCAGGCCTCTGGTCTGAATCCTCAGTCCCCAGAGCTCAGAGAACAGCAGGCTAAGCTTTCCACACAAGGAGCTCAAACTGAGAGTGAGGCCAGACAGACTGGCAGGAACGCCCAGCATCGTGTGCTCAAATCTGGAGCCATTTTTCCTTGGAACTGTATTTTCCCTTAGGAAAAAGATGTCCCTTGTAGTCATGGACTCAATCAGAGAAGGCAAATTTACATCCTTGCCTAAACAACAAAAGACAAGTTGAACTGATCCTGACAAACAGGGATTCACCATTTTATCTTTGATATTTAACTAAGACCAAGCATGGGTAGGAAGTATGGGACTGAAGCAAATGAAGACATGGGTGATTTTGACAGGTGCCACCCACAGCTAGCGCCTTTGCAGGGTCAGTGTGTGAGCAGGAGCTTCAGAGCCAGGTTTAGATAGCAGACCCACACCAGGAAACAATGTAAAATAAGAGGCCAGCTTAATTTTATCAGTACAGACAACCAAAACTAAATAGGCACCTTTTGTGTGTCAGTGTTCATGAACTTCATGTGTAACTGCCATGTTCCCAACTTAATTTGTTGCATGTGAACAAAATCAGATCATGCCCAAGCTCTTGCATATGGTTAATGAGTGATTGTGGGAAAAAGAAAATAAGCAATGAATATGTATATAAGGGTTTTGTTAGGTTCTTTCATAACGTAAATATGGGAGTTTTCGATGGGGAGAGGAGAAAGGGGGCTCTAAAAAAAAAATCAAAAGATTCTCTGGAAATCCCAGGGATTTTGTGTAGAATTTAACTTTGGTCTAGGGCAGAAATGTCCTCCAAGAGAGTTGTCCCTCAGCCGTTTCCCAGACTTTGCAATTTCTCTCCTCGTAATCTGAAATGACAATGACCTTTCTAACATCGATGTGGCCAGGAATTCCCTTTGACATCTTAGTCTACAGGGTCGAGCCTTCTCTGGCTATTTTATTGTACAATTGAGAGATATATAATAATGTACTTTAACCCGTGGCTACAGCAAATCATCACAGACCACAGTTGCCATTGGACTGGCACTGAAAGAGTGATGTGGCAGCTTTATCCAGCCTTTGATCAGTGAGGGCACCGAGTTCTTATGTGTGTGTGTAACAAGACTTTGTACTCAGCTCCTTTCAAAGACACTGAAAATTCACAGGTTGCAGTTAAGATCATAAATGCAATCAATATTTAATAGACTCAAGAAGCTTGCCACTTTGGAGATGCAGAGAAGAAAATACCTGTGTTTTGTGTTAATAAAGTTGAGCCATATGCAAATCAAGTAAGTAAATACACGCGGTGAACAATAAAGTAAAGAATTCTTCAAGTCAGCCAGGGGGACAATGAGAGAACAACGGAACATAGAAGTTACGGCCTAGACTGTACTTGAAATGTCAGCTTCATGACCTGTCAGCTCGGTGCCCTTTGGAAACTTTCTTAACTTCTCAGAACTCTAGTTCCTCGTCTGCCACAGGAGGATAACACAGCAGCCACCTCCTAGGTCTGTGACTAGCACAGGGGACAACGTTCCTGGTGTCTTCAGGCAGAGCTCAGCACGCTCTAAGCACTGCATTCCGTGTTCTTACCACTAACTGAATCATACGCCAAGACCATTTAGCCTCACATCAACTTTTGTGTCTAACCCTTTACAAACATTCACTGAATTTTCACGTTGCTGAATGCAATAAGAGAAAGACGTGCTTGTTGCTCACGAAACTTGCTGCTACCGTGGACAGAAGACAGAGAACTGTAATGCACTGTGACGAAATTTGAATAGAAATGGTGGGCTTTGGGGGATGTTAGGGGAAGCTTTATGGATACACCAATCAGCACAAGGTGGAGATACTCTGGGGGAGGGGAAAAGAGACATGGAGCCCAGAGTAGATGGGCTGAAATATAATTAGGATTGGGCATTTTCTCTGCTGAAAGTTATAAACTAGCAATGAATATGGATGGCTAAAGAAAAAAGGGGAGGCGATGATTGAGTTCCAAAGCACTAAGGGTGTTGTTTCCAGCTGGCCAAGAGGGTGTGGCTGTCACCAAGAAGCGGGCTATATGAACAAAGCTTGAGTCAAGGCAAGGTTCTGTCAGGTGGAGAAAGCGAAAGGCACTCTGAGACTGGAGTTTGAATTTTATGTGAGGGTAGCACATGCCCACCTCTGAGTTCTTTCAGGATTTCATAACCAAAATGTGCATCCTGGTTTGCATTAGAGGTTTCTGGCATTTTTATATTAAACTACTTCTCATCATGATTTCGAGGGAGAAAGTTGAACGTTGGAGACAGGCTAAATGACAACTGTAACTCTCCCTATATCTCCCTATTGTTTTTCTACTTCATGGCTGCACTTGAGCTCACATCTTCCTGTGTGAATAGAACACCCACAGCTTTCCAAAACCACAACATGGAATGCCTGGTAATGGGCTGTTGACAATTGCTTCTCAGTTCCAACATATTAACACCTTAAAATAGGCTAGAGTTAAATCATACGTAAAATTCCTGAAAACTTACAGAATTTCCATACTGGGCTTCCAGGTGGATATTATAATATTCATCCATCACCGTGCAAAATTTAATGCTCTTCCAAGTCATATTTATAAAGAATGTCTCAACGTTTTGAAAGCCACTGTGTCTTCAACATGACACAGCAACATGTGCTTTGCCCAGACAGATATCCTCACAAGTTCCATTATTTACCCAAGCTCTGACCTTCTGATCTAATCTGCCCCCTTTCCTGAACTTATCTAATGTGCTGTAATGATTCTCTATGCTACACTAGCTCTGCAATCCTTCCTAACTTAGTAGGTAGTAAGAGATGCACTTACCAAGCAATGTTCCTCATCCATAAGTCAATACTTCATTCTGTTGCAAGGCTTTAATGAGAGAGAGAGAGAGACAGACAGACAGACAGAGAGAGACAGACAGACAGACACAGAGAGAGAGAGAGCAGCTAGGAAATAGAATTGAGAGCATGATTTGATTTACTCTGGAGATGTTTAAGCAGCAACACTATGGTTCCCTTAGAGCCCTGCCTGCTGAAGGGAAGCTCAGACGTTACCTTCCCCCGGACTAGATGAAGAAGCATGGGTCTCTGCAGAGCTTCCAGGTTGTCCTTTCCTATGATCTTAGGGGTAGTTTTGCCCTTGAAGATGTTCTTCTCTCCTCTCTGTTGGTTCACATTTTCAACATTGACGGCCGTTATCTAAGGTCAAGAAAAGGAAACTATTAGGAAAAAATTTCCACAACTGCCTCTTAAAAATAAAGTGGTAAAGGCAACCAATCGAGGCTGTCATGTCTCCAAAATGTGGATTCACAGGACTTGTCACTCACATTTCTCGACAAGTGCCTTAACTAAGCTATGGCGCTTCTCCTTGCCATTCCCTTTAAAACAGAGAAGGTTTAACTTGTCAAAAGTGACAACACTTAACTCTGGGATCTTGAGTTATAACATATGCGACTTGAATTTGGCCCTTTGTGTCACTGTCACTTTCCGGACCGATTTTGGACAGCTGTTGTCTACCTCATCGTCTCCCTGTCTGTGATGTGTCTGAAAACATTTCTGCCCATTCTGCCTCCTTGTGTTTATAAAATGAAAGGTGAACAGCTGAGTTACAGAATAAGATGCAGGCAAGGTCTTCTGCAGAGAAGCTTGCTGTCCTAGTGACAGTGACTCAGAGGAATGCATGGTAATGTCTTGATCTAACTTTGAAAATACAACAACCACTGGAAACATCCAAAGAAATAGCAACAAATTGTCAACCCTGTTGCAATAAACAATATACCTTACTATAAAAAAGCTATTTGCTCAATGTACTTGGGCCAGTGGACCTATTTAACAGTAACCTGCAGAAGAGAACGTAACTTTAAAAGCAATCCATTGCTATTAGTTTCCTGGAAAGCAGGATTACAATATACCAACATTATAAAGTCCTACAAATCTAAACCATCATGGCTGACCAAAGGCTGTCATCCTGTGGAGTGTTTGGTTCCTTCTATAAGAGGCTCTGCCCCTCATCAGACCTGTTAACATCTACCTGTTGAACGAGGCCTCCCCTAATGCATCTCCATTTCAGTTCTTTGTGTGACATCCATTGCAAATCCCTTCCTCCCAGGACATTTGAATGGATTCCAAGACAATGTCCCTATTCTTATTAAGACGGTATAGGGAACTGGAGGTCAGACTTCAGTCACTAGGCAGCATGGAGCAGCCTACTTCAACAATTTGGAGAAAACTCACTATTGATGAGCAACAACTTCAAAGTTGTGGATGCCTCACTTGTTAAGCCAAGCATAACCAGTAGCACGAGCAAGTGCTGCTGGGTGGTGTATTTCTGACACCTAATCTTAGTGTAGTGCTGTTTGTTTGTTTCATTTTTCGTAGAAAATGCCCACCGTGACTTGGATCAGTTGGTCATCGTCGCCATCAGGATTCCTCCACAGTAACACAACATCCACATCAGATGCGATCCGGTAGCCCACGCTGTCTTGCACTTTTCCTTTACCCCCATCAAGAAACACTTCCGTGGAGTAGGTGAGTTTGTATAGCCGCTCATTATTTAATGAGAGACCAGTTGTGTGACCTACATTAAAGAGGGGCACAGGTCAAGTTTCAATTGCCAGGCACCTGTCAGGCCTGAGAACATACTGTCTTACCACGGGGCGCATCCTTCCAGCTCAGTGGAGCTTAGCAAGCACCTGTGATGGTGTGCTTCTCCGTCTGCTAAAAGCATCGACTTAAAAACCACAAATAAGTAAGTTAACTGACAAGCATACAACAAGCTTCCATTTCAGAAAACTGGTGTTTATATCCATTATCAAGTCATCTTCATATTGCCCTGGTTGAACATAAGACAGTTTTTAAAGCAACAATCACGTTGCTTTCAATCAGTTGACTAAAAGTTCAAGCAGAGGTCTTGGCTGGAATTGCTTTGCAAATTCAGTGAGATCATTTGTAATTATTTAAAATTATATGTGCATGGGTGGTTTGGCTACATCTATGTACACTAAATGCATGCGGTGCCCAAAGAGGCCAGAAGAGGGTATTGGGTATGCTGGGACTGTAGCTAAATATAGTGGTAAGCTACCATGCAGATGCTGAGAACCAATCCCAGCTCTGGAAGAGCAACAAGTGCTTTTAATCAAAGCACCGGTCCATCTTTACCACACTGTAATTAATACATTTTTAAATCCAGCAGCTGAGGGTCAAAAAGTGTTAGTTATCACACACACAAAAAAAAAATCCTTTCATTTGTGTACTTGCTGCTCTTAAAGAATTTTTTTCTTTTGTAGTTTTCGCTATAAGCTTAATTATCAAACTTGTCCAAAGAACATTCCAGTGGTGGTTGTGGTGGTTCATATATATAACCCCATATATATATATATATATATATATATATATATATATATATATATAACCCCAGCACTTTGAGGGCTGGGAAGATGCCCATGAGTTTGAGGGAAGCCTGGGCTATATAATGATTCCCAGCAACTCTGAACTACATAGTGAGTCCCATGCCAACCTAGGCTACAATATGAGACCAAGTCTCAAAAACCAAAAGTAAATAAATAAAAATAAAATAAATCTGTACCCAGGTATATTATTGTATAGTAATATTTTTAAGAAAATATTTAAGAGCCAGCTATAAATAAGTTTAAATTAATTGTGCCTGAAAAAAAGACAATGAATTACCTAAAATTTTAAGATGAGCTTTAATTTGGACAGGGGGGTTTAATCAAATACCTTGGAAGTCAGTATTAGGAGCCAAAGAATCTACAAAAGGAGATGTTCACGCAGTCCCCAGCTCAATTTAACCCATTCCCAAGACACGGAAAGGGGAAGGATTACAGTTTTCTCAGAAACAACATGTTTATGATCACATAAGCTGGCCTTGTATATTTCCTGTGTCGCTCACTAGATTCAGTCAAGGATTCAGTGTATCTCTTCTTCCTTGGAGTCACTGGAGTTACTTTGTCAGTGAACTCTACCACAGAGTCATAACTTACTTTCCCCTTGAGGAGTATGCACATAGCCAGGGGTAGTGGAGTATGCCTCCAATCCCAGCACTTGGGAAACAGAAGCAGGTAGATCTCTATGAGTTTGAGGCCAGCCTAGTCTACATCAGCTTCTGCCCACCCACCCCAAGCTACAACTGCATAGTCTCCAAGAAAAAGAAACCAACGCACGTTGCCTCAAGATTATGTGCTGACATTCATAAAAATTTAGTAAGCTCAGCCTTGGTCAGTCCATTTTGAGACGGGGTCTCTTTATGTATCCCAGGCTGGCCTAGAACTCTTCTTTCTCTTGCCCTTTGCTCCAGGTGCTTGGATTAGAATTTTGCACCAGACTTCTGGCTCTGAGGTGGGCATCGCTATTCTTCATTAGATGAGATTACACCATTTTCTCAGGATTACTCAGGTAATTAAAAATGGTGACATGGTGGCAACTCTGCTCCTAAAGATCATGTTCTTTACTACAAACCCTTAAAATTTTAGACTGAGTTCTCTTTCATTCCTAGGAAAGGAGCTGGGAATTCCTTCTTTCCTTTACCAATGATGCTCCGAGAAACTCCTGGGATATGTGCAAGTTTCTAGAGTCAACTACCATGTCAACAAACAAGAAGACAAATTTTCTACTTTTATGTAGCTAATATTTATGTGACGAGGAGCTAGAAAATAGAATATAGATAAATAAGTGGATGAGGAAATACCATAGAATGGCAGGCATGCTAATAGAGACAAATCTACCGGGAAAGGGAATGCCTCTGTGAGGCAAGGTCAGCTTTAGGCTGGCCACATGAGCATCTGTAGCGAGAGTCACACTCCGCTCCTCCCACTCCATTCTCAAAGAGAGTGGCAAGTGCAAAGGCCCTAGAGAGGGCTCATGCAGATCCAAGTGCAGCAAGAAATGGAATTGACTAAGTAAACAACACAGATGAAGACCAGGAGGTTGAATGGGTGCCTCGGGCATCCGGGAGACTCATCAGGGACAAGTCCAGACGCCTGGAGTTTGAGATAGGAAGCTGACCAAGGTTCAAAGGGAGGACAAGGGTTTCAATAGGCATCCAGAAGAGGCAGGTGACAGATGAGTGTGAGCTGGCATCACACAAAACAAAGTGCAAACAACAAGTCAGCCAAGCCTGGGGCATGAGATACAGAAGGAAGATGGAGTTAAGAGAGAGAGAGATCTATCAAATTCCATACAGGGCACAAAAGTACTGCACGCTGTCTTATCAAATCCTCACAGCGGTTGTGAAAGATAAGCGGTACAGGAGAGCTGACAAAGACTGACTCTAAATTCAGCCCCCCACACGGTGTGGACTCAGAGGTTTAGGTTTTATGAAGGCGTTCAGAGCTAGTGTGCTGATGTTTTCTTAGCTTTTACTTTACCAGGAACAAGGAGCATGGGACATACCAGCTCCTGACTGCACTGGGACCGTGAGTGAAGCCTAGAGCAGGACGGGCCCTGCTCTCCCTCGGCTTCCCTGACCTCTGTCTACAGGCCTCAAGTGTCTGTCCTTCCCATCAAATGCTCCAAGTTTAAGATGATCCAAACAGCTGGACTGTGCTTCAGTGTTAATTGGGACTCTACCCCTGATCTTTCTCTGATTCTTTTCAGGGATCTGGCAACACTGAGCATCTGAAATACGAGTGACTTAGGTTCAATTTTAGGCTATTGCTCTTTAGGGTAGACATAATGCATTTTTTGTTCGAAAAGTCGAGGCAGTGTAATAGCCCTGCTAACTGGCTTAAACAAGGAGGCAAAGCAGAGGTAAGTAAGAGTGAGGCTTCAGAGGTAAGGGAAGAGGAGGAGTTTAAGAATCTGGTAGAAAAGTGTAAGGCAGATAGGAGAGATGGGATGTGATTAATGCAAATGGACTAGAAACCAGGGTGGGGTCAGAGACCAGTGAAGACCAGAAATGAGGAAGCCAATATGAAGGGTAGAGGTGACAAAACAAATGGAAAGTAAAAGCCCTACATTAAAAAACAAAACAAAACCAACCCGGGTCAGCACTGAGAACAGCTCCATTATTGCCCTGCAGTCAATTACAGCCAGGGGAAACTTGGGCCTACAAGTTCACACTCAATAAATCAGACTGCCTTCCATGCTACCTTCATCCTAAGGTTAGTAGGAAGGTAGAGTTGTCTCATGTCCTTTCCTGGTTAAATATCAATTGCAGAGGCAAAGAATCTACAGTCAAATCATGTTCCTCTAACACCAAACAAAGGCTACTCCATGTGGATGGAAAGAACAGTCCTGTATTGTATCTTGTGACGTTTAGTGTAAGAAGGTCTTTGAAACGAAATTCAGAAACTCCTGCGAAGAAGCAGAAGCTCTGGGCCCCTCACTTGCCCAGGGTTCTTGTAAGACTTTGGAAGGGAAGAGGGCCCGAGCCACCTGTACACAGTCCTTATCTTTTCTCAGTAACCTTTGTAAGCACAAGATATTTTCATAGTGTTTTATTGGAGACAGCCTTTCAGTTGCACAAGCTTTCAGTTCTGAAAACCTGGATTTGTCACTGAGCTTGTACACAACAAACTGTCATGCTCTAGGCCACATTTTCCCCATGCGCAGGAGGCATGCCTGCATGCTGTTGGTGTGTGCTCGCATGTGTTATGACTGTGTGTGTATGTGTGTGCGCAAACATGCGCGTGTTTGCTGTGTTTCCTTTACAGAATGGGAATTTAGAAAGAAGCCACAGTAACTACTGTATCACCATCACTTTTCAAAAGTAATCATAATGTGGGGCTCTATAGTATACTGTTTAAATCATAGACAAACAGTAAAACACTGCCTTCTAACAGTTCCAAGTCAAATGTGATTTACAAGTTTTTGTTTTTCGCCTTAGGAAGGGTTGTCTCTTAGACTCTAATGATTTTTGAAAATGCTAAGAACATTTGCTCCAGTTTAAGAGTATATTTGCTCAGGTGAAATAATTGAATTGTAGCCCTCTATATCTTGCTGTAATAACAGCTCTTCCATGTAGAAATTTCATACACACAAAAACTCTCAAGGCAAACTTCACTTTATGATCAAAAGTCACATTTATCCCAAACTTTACAAGTTTATGTGCCTTCAGATCGATTGGTTTTAACAGTATATCTTTTTATGAGCTATAAAAAAGTGGCATCTTTACACAAGGCAACAATCTGAAGGCCGAAGAGTTTATAAACTGGTGGACTCATAGATTACCTATCAATACATTTGAAACCATTCCTTGTGAAATTCTTTCCTCCTGTTTTTTTCTGATATTATCAATTTGTGTGTGTAAAGGTATTTTTGTCTTAAAACAGAAACGGTTAACTAGTAACACTATTTTTAAAGATGTCTTATTTCTTAAATCCATATTATAGAGCTTTATTTTCTTTAATTCACTGAGTTGGATTATTCTATGCCCTTTGAATGCCAGCAGAATTCCAGAATGTTATACCATTTCATTCATAAGGCTTTGGCAGTCAAATGTCTCTCCCCCACCCACCCATCCCCAAATTGGGTACGATTCTTCTTGCTGTCCATTGCTAAGCAACTAGATGTAAATTTCGGAACTGGTTTTTAAATCCTATTTTACAATTCAAATGAAGGCCCTGCATTTTGTGTGTCTGTCAGCAGCAGGTAACAATAGCTCAAATCTTTTTCCAGGAATAACAAACCCAAGCTAGAAACACACTGGTCTAGGGGATGGCGGGCTGAAACAAAAAGGGGCCTCCACTCTTGTAAAACAGAGCCAGAAATTAAATTTTTTCACTTCCACTTATTCACTTACCCCCAAATATTCCAACCTTATATACTTTCCAAAAAATTGTGTACTTAGGCACCACACACACACACACAAACACACACACACACACACACGACTGAAGTTCAGGAGATGGCACACACACTTACCTTTAACAGAGGCAGAGTAGGAGGAGAAGAAGCAGAGGAAAAGGATTGCGAGGAGGATCATGCTGCCTGGCTATCCTCTGCTGCATCCACTCCCCAGGAGTCGCTGAGAAGCCGACTCTTCTGGAGGCAGCCAGCAAGGAAGTGACCCTCCTCAGAATCTGCGACAACTGTTTATCTATAGGGGAAAGGTCAGATTCCAAACTCCAAAATCAGGACCTAAGTTCATGGAAGGGCTGACTATTAATGATTAAACATTGGTGGGCTATAGCTTTTGGTCTTTCACTTTTAAGAAATGTGTTTCATTCAAGAAAGGAAATCAAGGAGGTCTTGAGAGACAAACTAAACCAGTTCATACTCCTTCAGATGCAGAAGCACCGAGGGGCCAAAGAAACAAACAAACAAACAAAAATAAAGCAAACAGAAATCCTGGTTGTGATACTTTCCTGCTCAAGTACAAAATCACCAAAACTAGAACATTAACTGCCTGTTGGAATATCTCCCTGATTACAATAAAAAGAGGGAAGTCCAGTTAGCCCCAACCCCACTGAACCCGACTGAACCAGAACACATCATCTGCTCATTCATCTATTTATTTATTGGCCTTTTCTGAGACAGTTTCCCTTTTGTAGCCTTAGCTGTCCTGGAACTCGCTCTGTGTAGACCAGGCTGGACTCAAAATCACAGAGATCAGCCCTGCCTCTGCCTCCTGTACGCTGGGATTAAATGGGTGGGCTACCACAACCTGACTTATTTTTTAATTTTTATACTAGTCACAAACCATTATAAAAACCACTCTTACCTTTATAACTTTAACTAAGTCAGACCACCACTGATAAAGATAATATTGTATTAGACCTTCTTCTATGCCGGAAATGTGGCTAACTGTTCTAAGACTGTGAAACTACAGAGGCTGGAACAGACCAGGGAGGCCACCATGAATGTGTTAGAAGGACAACTGAAGGCACCAGAGCAGACCTCTGCACCAACAGGGAACACTATTCGGGTCCCCAGACTGGGGACCAGAATCCTGTCTTTTCTGAGTTGGATTTCTTTTCCTTCCTTCCTTCCTTCCTTTCTTCCTTCCTTCCTTCCTTCCTTCTTTCTTTTCTTTTTTTTGGGGGGTGGTGGTGGTGGTGGTGTTCAAGACAGGGTTTCACTGTATAGCTCTGGCTGTCTTGGAACTCACTTTGTAGACCAGGCTGGCCTCAGACTCTCAGAGATATGCCTGCCTGAGTTGCACTTCCAAGAGATTCAGAGGATGAGCTCCAGTTCTCACCATTTTTGCAGCAGAATATTTGTTAGGAAATCTCTTTAAAGCGAACGCCTTTGTATAGTTAAAGGCACACTAGCTGAGTCAGCCAACACTTGCCACTGGTAACTGCCAGAGTCCTGGCAGAAACAGGCGCACTTCTAACATGAAGTGGCATGGTATGTCTGTGGAGGGGAGGCAGACAAAGAAACTCTGGTACCAAGGGTTATTGGAATATCTATGAAAAAGACTCATGGCCATGTTTTACATAGAAAATGGGTTCTCCCCTAACCTGGAGCTTAGGTCTCTTAGACAATTTAGGTAAACGAGATAGCAAGCAATAGGGCTGCAAAAGGAAATGTAAAATTTAAAACCCTCCAAACTGAAACTTTTCCTTTAATGTGCATTTCATATGCAAAACTGAAAGGTGAAAATTAATTTAATCTTCTCTTAAGAGTAGGACTTCATTTATTATTACCAGTTTTCCTGGGGCCAGACAGAAAAGGCATTCTCTCTCTCTCTCTCTCTTTCTCTCTCTCTCTCTCTCTCTCTCTCTCTCTTTCTCTCTCTCTCTCTCTCTCTCACACACACACACAGCTTTACAGGGTACCAGGCATTCATATACAATGAAAGTGCTTGGCACTTCCTTTTTATTTAGTTGCTGTTGTTACCATATTTTTTCTTTTTTTAAATAATAAATCATATTTATTTTCTTTTTGTAATTATTTTTATTTTACATGTCAATCCCAGTTCCCTCTCCCTCCCTCTTACCCTCTCTGCCCTCTCACATGCACCCTGACCACCCTCCCCTCCCCTCCCCCCCACCCCAACTCCATATGTAGGGGAATGCCATCCAGTTGGGGTCAAGTAGATCTGACAGGTCATTTGAAGTAGGGACTGGGACTTCTCTCCTATCTCTAGGTTAAGGCAGTTATCCCTCCATGGGGGATGTGTCTACAAGGTCCTTTTTGTGCACCAGGAATACATCCTGGTTCCAGTGTCTGAGGTCCCTTAGACTGCTCAGTCCTTCTGGCTGAGACCCATATTCAGGGGGGCCTGAGTCAGTCCCATGCTGGATTCCCAGCTATCAGTCTGGGGGGGCCTTTAGCTCCTCCTTGTTCAGGTCAGCTGTCTATGTGTTTCTGCAACCTTGTTACCATAATTTTTAAACATGACACTTTACTGTGGAGACCTGGCTGACCTGGACCTCCAGGGGAAAAACAGAATGGCTTTCCATTCAGTGATCCTCCTGTCTCTATCTCCCCAGGTGCTGGATTTAAACACATGTGCTACAAGGTCTTTCTCGCTTTGCTTTAATTTGAATAGATCTCCAGATGTGTCCACAGTATTAGATAGGTAGATATAAAAGGCCTTCATAGTCACTTATGTTATGCTCACATACGTATGTATTTCAGCCAAGACCTATTTTGAATGTAAGAACTGTCTTGTATTTTCATCTCAGTCACAGTTGCATACATTTACAGCTATCGTAGAGTATGTGGTGTGCGATACGTGTCTCTTTGGGTAAAGTTCTAGTCGTTGTCAGGAGGTTGTATCAGAGTCCAACCAATAAAGAGCATATCACTATTACCTAATCAAGGGAGTGCTGTTTCATTTGAGCATTTGATTTCCACTAGGACGCACAACATTCAGTAATCATTCAACACAAGACATGCAATAGGCTGCTTCTGTTGGTCACAACATCATCCATTTATATTTGGCATATAGTTCTCTTTTTACAAAGACATGGGAGAAGATGTATCATGATTGTTTTGCTGAGATGAACTAAGAAGGGCAAACACTTCCACAGTCACAGAACTTGCCTTGATTGCTCTGTCACACAGAGCAAGCCATGTACAGTATATGTGAGAGACATCTCCTAAACTCACCAGCTGGTTTGCATGGCACATGAAGCAGGAAAGGATGTCAACACAGAACGAAGTAACAAAAGTTGGCCTTAATACTGTACTGTACATTTGGCCATCACAACAGTCACTTCCTTTTGGCTCAGGTTACTTGATTAAAACTACTTTAAGGAACATAGCAATACTTGATTGCTTAAAAAGCAATCTTTGCTTGCTTAAAAAAACATTAAAGTTGGGATTACATAAGAAATTGAATTTTTGAACAATTGATATTGTTATTAATTAAAGAGGATGTTCTTAAATATGACAACTTAATGTGGAAGTTGATAGAACAACTGTTTTTGTGATGGGTACTCCAGGCTGAAAATACACTGATCTGTCCTAGTCAGCACAGAGGGAGACAATACACTAAAATCCCTTCGGTGGTACCCAGCCCTGCCACAATACCATGTTGCCTTGACAAGTGAGGAATGCTTGAAATTAAAGGCAGATTACTGGTTCCAAAGTGCAGTTGTGTTCTGTTGAGTATCATAGATTGTTAGGAGTTAACTTATTTCCCTAGATTAGAAGATAGATGAACTTTAGCCCATTAAAGGTTAAAAGGAAATGAGTTACCCTATTAGATATAGACGTGGCAAGTCAGGATGTAAGATAGCCCTGAGAAGAGAAGTCTATCTGTGTCATCAGAACATTTTGCTCTGTTCTTAGAAAAGAGTGTGACACTGGAGTGAGTGAGGGAGGGACGGGGAGGGAGAGAGGGAGGAAGGGAGGAAGGAAAACTTAGGACACTTTAAATTACTCTTAAAACATCATACTGTTCTAATTTAGTAAGGGACTTAGCATTTTGACAGAATTCTGAGAAACATACTATGTTAAGAACTTGCAACTTGCATACTAAGGTATGTTAGTATATATATATATATATATATATATATATATATATATATATATATATTTTAACAATTATTATTGAAGGTTTTGTTAAAATAGATACTAAATTACTAACTTCAGTGAAAGCAAAATTGAGGCTTAAGTATGAGACATTTGGAAGCTAAGATTAAAAAGTCATTTTTCAAAACAGACTTAAGTAAACATACATAAACACATATAAATATATTTGTCAATAATCAGAAAACCCTTGTGCATCATGCTAATCTGAGAGGACCCTAATAGTATGTCTGGTCACTTAGAACTGGGTTATCAGACAGAAGAGAACTAGTAGAAGAGATTTCAACAGATGAATATAAAGAAGTTAAAAATTTAATTTTGATGAAATAATAAAGAATAACAAAACAATTTCATTGCCCTTTTAAAATATAAACTTCAAGCCTAAATGTTGAGCATAAGTACAAATTTCTTTTAAAGGTCTACATAATATAACTCAATTACATTTAGGCACAATAGGGTAAACAAATGAATTGATTTACAGCAGAATCAGAAGCCGATAGTTTTAAAGCAACCACCAATACATAATATTTAAGAAATATGTATATAATACTTAAGGTATATTAAGATATAAAACACTTAAGATTGGTCAAGTGTGGAAGGACAGAGTGCAGGTAAACGATGGCATTTGGGATAGTGCCTGAAGAATCCCCAAGAACTTTAGAGAGCACATGTTAACCCTGAAGCTGTTGTGAATAGTTGCTGTCCTCCAGTCCTGGAAGGCAGAGGAGCTCCTACAAGAGTACCCCTGGGCTGATATCAAGATGCTGGCATGGTGTACCACTTTCTGAAGACTTCAGGAGAGAATCTATTCCCTTGCTGCTTCCAGCTTTTGGGAGCTGCCTGTGTTCTTTGTCTCGGGGGCCCAGTCTCTACACCTTTAAGATCAGCAGGAGAGGGCCGGATCCTTCAGCCTCAGATCACTCTTGACTTCCTCTTCTGTATGATTCTTCCTCTGTGTAGACAGTTGATTATATCAGGCCTATGTGGATAACCCAACAGGGTCTTTTTTACTTGGTGTCGGTCATCTGATTAGTGACCTAAGTTAACATGGATGCTCTCTGCCGATTAAGGCATGA